AATGAATGACGAACGTCATCACTCATTTTTCCACAAGTGGTGGACGATTGCTTACTATTTTTAAATGAAATGCTATATTAACTGCATTTTATTTCTTCACGATTCTCTTCGGACGCAAAAATATCTGAATGTCCGTATTGTATTGATTTCTGCTAAAATATAAAAATTTTGAAGATATTCCACTTTTCAACCGGCATTGCGTTGGAATCAAAAGTGGTGACCCAAATTTCTGCCATGACCTCTCATTTAGAAAAAGTTGTAGACGTTTCATTGCAAATAAACGTAGGAAATCCTAAACACAAGAGCTCTCAATGTAAGAGTTCGTTAAATAAATTTCAAATTTTCCAATAAATTATATTGGAAAATTCAGCTTCTTTTGAAGCTTGCCACGCGTGAGTTAAATTTTTTGATTCATACATTCCTCTAGCAGAATGCTTCATATATAATTGTATCAATTTGGGGCCATGATATATTTGTGCATATTGATTTGGCCTTAATGAAAAACAAAATCTCCATAACACGATTAAGCCCCTGGGGCTTATACCTTCAGCCATATGGACAATATCGGTCCATTAAGTACCTCCCCCATAAAGGATCCAAATTTAGGATAAATTTAACTCTCATAAAAGCAACCGATTCACTTCAATTTTCAAGCGTCTAAATACTTATACCTTCACTCATACAGGGGGTACATTTGATACGTAAAAACGTTCCTCATCGATATAACTGTTCTAGACCCCAGGTCTCTTTGGACCAAACACGTTTCTGGACGTTTGGAGTCGATCCGTCAGGCTGGCGGGTTCGCACGATCACTCTTGAAAAGTTTATCCGATTTGAACTTATTGTCAAACTTAATTCGAGATCGGAAATTGGCAATATCGGTCCACTCCTCCTGGTGCAAAGGTCAAAATTTTCATAGAAAAATTTCATAGAAAATAATAATCATAGAACAGAAGGAATCATTCAATTCTGTTCAAATTTTAAATCCGAAAATGGACAATATCGGTCAACCCCATCAAGTACCTCCCTCATTTCTATAATTATAACTTTTATAACATGTAAAATAACAGTGAAATTGTCTTCAAATTTCGGGCATCCTACTATTTCTACCAAAACAAACATTGGTGGGATGAGGGAATATTTCGGATCACTCCTTCTGGTACCTCACCCACAACGGGTCAAATAATTATAACTCTAATAAAATACTCTAATGAAATAAAAGCCCATTTCTCTTCAAACTCGGCACAAACCAATATTTCTACTAACGCAAGATCTATTGGGGGATGGTAGATATCGGCTCTCTCCTTCTCGTACCTCCCTCACAAGAGATTAAAATTTAGATTAACAATAATTCGCATAAAATTGGAAATACATTTTTAATTTTTGATAATAACATCATTATTAGATGAAGTGGATTAATTCAATCCACTATTCTGGCATTTTCCAAAAATTATCACACATCCCATATATTGGTGGATAGGTAGGTTGGTATAAAGGCAATATTACTGATTGTAACACGAGGAGTTTTTGATCAAATATTTAAACTCTCAATCGAGTCACTTCCTGATCTCAAAAAAGAAAAAAATATAATAATAATAATGAAAAAGTGGATTTTCAATTTTATTTTGTTATTTTTATTTCTAATTATATGAAAACGCTACTATCAAAATTTATTAGTATAGTTCTACGTTTTGCTACAGTCCTTGTTTAAAGTAACCCCCATTTTACGTACAGCTTGGGTGTTGGTCATATTTTTTCAAGCGACTTGGTTGAAAAGTTGTATTTTAGTTATTGCGAGGTCTTTAGCCTCATTTTTTATACCCCTGAGAGGCTATTGAATAGTAGGATTTGACGCGCAAAATTAATTACATATTTTTTTAATAGTGAAATTTGATGAAAAATATTCATATATTTGACGTCATCCTTCAGAAATAATGATTTGTAGGACTCACATGAATTCGTCTAAACCAGTAAAAGTGGGCCCATACATTTCATATTCACATATGACAGATCTCTCGCACTCGTTGAGAGATATAATATACATTTTAAAAGAATAGTTGACTTGTTTCTCAATCTATGAGATATATATTTATTGAACATTGTGACCCTTTGAGGGGGATTCCAGAAGGAGTGTACCAAATATTTCCCATCGTAACACCAGATATTTGGTTAATAAAAATAATTTGATGTGTGAAATTTTAAAAGAATCGGTTGCTTATTTCGCATTTTAATGGGGGATATAAATTCCACCCGTTGTGGGAGAAGTAGCAGAAGGAGTAGTCCGTTCTTCATATCAGATCTTGTGGTGGTTGATATATTGAAATGTTTGAATCTTGAATACAATTGCACTCTTAATATACATTTCATAAGAGTTATAATTATTCAAAATGTTAACCCTTTGTGGCGAGGTATTTTATGGGGTGGGCCGATATTTTTCACTTTCACACCTGACCTGGCACAGACACTAATATTAGGATTAGGAAAGTATTAACAAACTCGGATGATATTTACTGTCAGAATTTTTACCTTTTGTGGGGCAGGTACTGGAAGGAGTGAACCGATATTATCGGAGATATATCGTCCACACCTGTCAGCTAGACGGACGGATGGACACGCACTAGATCGACTCCACATTTTCCAGAAAGAATTTGGTCTAAATAGACCTAGGGTCCATCGGCATCTATACCCTTTTTGGTCATATGGCAACTGGTTTTGTGGTGGATATGCTTTTTTCCAGTTTTCTATAATATATTGTATTTACTTTTGTTGTTTTCATTAAACGTGTCTCTCCAGAGATCTTATCCAATTATAAGTGGAAAATCGAAATTAGGTAAAAGTAGATTTGCTAGTAGAACTTGAGTCGAACTTGGATGGTTTCTGGCGTTTAATTGGCATATGCTTGATCGCAACAAATTACACTTTCCAAAGAACGGCTCCTGTAAGCCATCACTGCCAAATATGCCTGATGAGCCTAGTGCATGAGCATAGCGGTGAGTGCTAGATAGTGTCACTCTGGCTTTCCTTTTTACTGCAAAATTTTCAGATCACTAAAAATCATCACTTCCTTTATAAGTGTTAGAGTTTTTTTTCTCACTTTTACTACTGACAATTGAAGATAATGATGATGGAGATTTTTGAAACAGTTCGAAGTACATTTCTATACTAATTTAGTAGAAAAGGACTGATTTATTTCAGATATGAACAATTAATTGGAAGGTGAATTTTTTAATCCATTGGGAATGTAAATGCAAAGTAAAAGTTTGTTGATGAATACCAAAAATTGCCTTTTCCCAAATCAAGACCCATTTTCACTTTTGGTATTTGTAGAAAAGATATAATCCTTTGCTACATATATATAATCCTTTCCAGAGAACTCGACATTTTATGTAACACATAAATTAGTTTGACATTCAAAGATTTGAGTGATGAATTTCACTCCACTGTGCGTCGCTGACTTCAATTATCTCTTCTTTTTCTTCTTCTAACTGGACATAGGCTTGTTGTCCGGCTTTATAGTTTTCCATTCATCTTTTTATGTGTGCTAGCTTTGGACATTTATTACTGTGGATAAGAGGGCTATTTACATGTAAGGAGAACCTACGTGTGCAGGTTTCCTGGAGTTGCTATGAAAAATTGTCAGGTTTTTATTCAGTTTAAAAAATTGAGACTTTGAATTGTACCAGCGTTTAAGGCAAGTGTTTGACAAAAATTCCAAATGAATATTATAAGTTTGCATGGCTCTTGTTATAAAAAAAAGGACACATACCTCCTAACACTTTCCCCTACTGAAGTATTACCTTATTCTCAATGTGCACTTACCCTTCCCCATGTAAAATTATAGCAAAATCGGACAATATGTAGAAATACCGAAAAATGGGTTTTAGAACAGAGTTACCCCAGAAAAAAAATCAAGTTACAGCTAATGTTTATTGATAACCAAAAGGCTAATCTACTGTAAAATATAATATTTCAAAGTGAATGAGAAAATGAAATAAAACCAATAACACGCTCAACATTATTTTTAAACAATATATATATTAACAATTATTATATATCTCTTAAAGAGAACATCATTGTCATAACTTCATTAAACTTTAATTTGGAGAGAATTTAATTATTGACATATTAATTGCAAAATAATTCTTTTTATGGAAATAAAAAAAAATGAGGAAAGGAATTGTGTAAGTAGTTAATAATAATTTTGTAGACACGCACCGATTTAACACCAACAAATTATTAAAATTGCAATACGAGTACCTAGTGCAGTTAATGACAATTTGTAGATATGTATGTATTGATTTTTTCCAGTGTTCTTACCCAACACTGGACACTTTTCCGTACATTATCAACCCATTGTGGCTTTGACATTTTAGTGGTCATTTTCCAAATTAACACATTTTCCGTTCATGCAAATCCGCCATTGGCAATGAAAACGTAGCGTTAAGTACAAATATTTCACCAAGCTATTTATGCCCAGCTAAAGTATATGAAAGTATTCACCACATAAAAAAAAAACATTTTATGCGTATATAACGAAATTGAATTGTTGTTGTGTAAATAGTATTGTGTTATGTATTTATGAAAAAAAAAACTGAACCATAATTTAATATTTTTTCTGTAACCAAATATTTGAGCTTCTTTTCAGTTGATTTAATTTTTTGTTTTATTGATTTCCTGTCAACATTTAATTAAAAAGGCAATAATTCAGTTTGTATTTTGTATTTTTGTTTTATTTTGTTTTTTATTTATGGACCATTGTTTGATGTGTTTCTTGAAGCGTGTGCTTGTGCCAAAATGATGTAAACAAAATATTAATAATAATAATAATAATGAAAATAAAAAGAAATATTTATCTTTTAATTGATTTAGGCTTTTAACCTAGATTTCGCCAATTGTAATAATTCTCATATAATTTTTATGTCATATTTTCTTTTTTGTATTTTTTCCATAAAATCCTGCTCCCCCTTATGTCATGTCCCATACTCTTGTGGCAACAACAGCATCAACCTCGAAGTTGGATTGAGACAAACTTTCAGAAGCGTGAATGCATCAAATTCATACCATGTCCCAAAGATGAAACAAGGTAAGTGATAAAATTTTTTATTTTTTTTATCAAATGAATTGCAATTTAAATGCAATATATCGTTACCAATGGAAAAAATAAATATTAAGAAAATATCCAGTCCAGTTTTAAATTGTTAATTTAAATTTAAAACAAACAAAAACATCCACCTTAGGGTGAAGGAAACATTAGAACCCATTATGACCCACAAATACCAATTTTTAGACATATTCATGGGAAAATGTGCCAAAAATCATTAAAATACCGAATATCGGGAAATATCGCTATATAGGGCTATACAAAAACGTGGACCTACACATACAATGTTTCTAGGAGCTAGAACCCATTAGGACCCATAAATATCAATTTTTAGACAAATCCGTGAAAAAATGTGACAAAAACCATCATTACATGGGGGAACTAGAACCCATTATGACCTTCAAATTCCAATTTTCAGAAAAATTCGTGAAAAAAATGTGGCAAACATTATCAAAATAACTAATATCGGGAGGTACCGTTATATGGGGACTACACCAAGATGTGGACCAATATATCTCAGACACAATAGTCCAACGTATTGGTGTCCGGAGATTTTGGTGGACATTGTGCGCTGGAAATTAAGCGAAGAAACTCATTTTGTAACCATTCATAGGTGCTGAGTGCGATGAGGGAATGTCCAAGTTCTTCGGCCAAAATATTTGCGTGCCCAAGGCTTTAATACACCCTACAGAATATTTTCGCGATAATATTCGGCATTTATTCTGATGCCATGGTAGATTAATACGAGCGGAGAGCGACCATCGGCTGTTATGGCGGCCCACACCATCACCATGGCCGGAGCTTGACTTCTGGTGGCCAACCGTCGGACTACGCTACCAGGGATAGTACAAGACACAAAAGATTTATTCACATTTAAATGCTGGCGTGCTCTAACGATAGCCACTTGTGCTTTTCCAGCCAAATATAAAGAATCACACTATCACCCTTGAATTCCATCACGAATAACTTTTTTCACATATAAATTAGTCAATATAGTCCAAATTGGGCAAGTTGTAATATATTTATCAGAGTTAGTTCAGATGAGAAGTGGATAATTTTGGTCCACTGCTTCGGTATCTTCTCCCATAAAAGGTCTTAATTTTGAACAATTTTAGAACATACTTTAGTAAACTGACAGGCTAAGGGTAAACATCTGTCGGCAAAACTTTTTAACGACTGACACTTTTTTGGTACTTTTGGTATTTTTTTGCAAAAAGTACGATCTCTTTAAAGTTAAAAGTACTCGTTTGGTACAGATTCCGAAAAAACTCCATCTAATGACTCACATCAACAGTGACCTATAAGACGTATTTCAAGACTTGACGATTTTTGAATTTGAATCTTGCAGAAAAGTTCTCTTCCTCAGAGCTTAGTATAAAATTTCGATTAACTAGCTCTAACATTACAATATTAAGTACTTTATATTAGCTTTATTAACAAAAATTTCCAAAAACTACGCCAAACCTAGTCCAAAAAACACAAATTTTAGCACTTTTAGTACGTAATTCCCAAAAATCCGTATTTCGAAATTCCAGCCCTAGCAGCTCCCTCTGGGCGTTAATCATCTCACTCATCTTTTACAATTTTGGGCGAATAGACTAATAAAGAAAACCAACAACTCAATCTGTGTCAAACATGTGAGCCAAAGATCATTGTTAATAATTTGATAAGAAGGTAAATTTCAGATATGGTGTTATCCATCCAAGATGTACATCACTGTGACGTACATCAGGCTGTTGTTTTTCCGTCTTCATTGGTATTTATCCAGAAAAAATACCAAAATAAATAAAATGATGGTAAAATACAAATTAGGTCACTGGGTAAGGTAAACGGCGGGACCCAGATGCTGATAATTTTATCAGACCTCTTGATAACGCCACCAAAGGCACACATGTCACCAACGATAAGCGTAATACAATTCGCTCCGGAATCCATGGTTCTGGATGTGACTAATAATAATAAACAAGTGCGTCAAAAAGTTTTGACTCAATACAATATATTTTGTTGAGAAAAGAGAGAGGCTGATTTATGATAAAAAAAGAGAGGGAGAGAGAAAGCAAGAGTAATTTCTAAGGCAATTAATGTTGTTATGGTATGTTCACACCTAGTATCATTTAGAATTGCTTATCTAGATCTGTCTTTTTTCTAAATAGATATAAAACAATAATAAAATACAATTAAAAAAAAACCTATTTTATACGTAACAAATTTAAAAAATATTCGTCTCTTTAGAAATTAGGTCGCTGTCTAAAATTGTATTCAGATGAAAGGTAAGGGGAATTGTTATATTATATTTAATGTGCAAATTTTTGATTTACTGCGATTTTATGCACCCAGTTAGGTCATAAACCACAGATGTTTTCTACCAAATCGTGTTTGCTATATTTTTAGCGTCCATTTCAACTTCTTCGTAATTCACAGTGTACCAAAAAGGCGTAGGGAATAGAAAAAGAGTTGTCAAAGATTTATTAACAAAGAACATAATTGACACTAAGGGAGGGTGGTAATCTGCATCAAACGACTTACGAAAGATTGCCAAAACAACAAATTGTCCCAGTGTTTATGAAGACACAAAATGAAGGGGTGTTATGGCTATAAAGGCATTAAAATCTTAATATCTCGATTTTACGACATTTTGTGTAGAGGATTTAACGCGGATTGCTACTGCATTATAGTGAGTTTAAGATTGCAAAACTATATCAAGCACATCGTAATATATCAAAATTATGAGATTATTATGAGATCGTGTGGAACACATATGCAGGGTAAGATAAAAAACTGAAACAAAGTCAAACGCCATCATTTTTACATTTTTTTAATTTTATTGAATGAAAGCAAAAAATGTGGGAAATAGTATCAAGTTTTATAATAAGTTTAGATGTGTTCGAATTGGTCACCTTTGGCACGATTATGGCCTTCAAATGTCCAATGAAACCGTCACACGCTGCCCGAAAGTTGCTCTGCGATATTTTGGCCCATTTCCGGCGAAGCGCTGCTTGAGGTGACACTTTGGTATTTTTTAGTGCCAACCTTGCTTTCTAAAATACTCCAGACACAATAGTCCAACGGATTTGTATCCGGAGATTTTCGTGGCCATTGTGCACTGGAAATGAAACGAGGAACCTTATTTTGTAACTATTATTGGGTGACGCGTGCTAAATGTCCAAGGTGTGCGGTCAAAATGTTTGCGTGCCCAAGGCTTTAATACACCCTCCAGAATATTTTCGCGATAATATTCGGAATTTATTCTGATGCCACAGTCGATTAATACGAGCCGAGAGCGACAATCGGCTGTTATGGTGGCCCACTCCATTACCATGGTCGGCGCTTGAGTTCTGGTGGCCAACCGAAGGAGCACATTTTCAGCTGATCTCTTTCACAAGTAAACACGATCATCTTGTTTGTTTACAAACTGCGGGATAAGAATGTTTTCGCATCGGAGAAAGCAAAATTCGGCCAAGCAAATCAACTCTTTAGCTCTTTTGAGTCTATTTTCTTTCTGTGGCGTTGTAAGTTCTTGCACTTTTTGGAATTTCAATGGCTTTACCTTCAGCTCATTTTTCAATATTTGTCGAATGTAATATTGTGATATGGTCAGCTCACGAGCCATTTTTCGGCCACTGCGACGCGGTTTTCGATCAAGTCGCTTCTTTACTTTTCGAACCACCAGCCTGAAGTTGGTTGCAGTTTTTCTATCTCACCCTGTATATGATGTATTCATTTAAATCTGAGCCGATTTAAATTTAATATACAGAAATGTTTCTTAATTATATGTAATGATTCTCCAGCTCATCGTTATGCTCACTAGCTGATAATATGTGACGGAAATAGATATCTTTGTTTTATCGAGTTAGAATTATTGTTATATAAACCTTTTTCATATCAATATTTGTAGGTAATTCCCCTCCCCAACACGCCAGATTCCATAAGATATATGCATCAATATTTCCGCAATAAACGCTTAAAAACCATATCTAATGACAAAAACTGCCGCGGTGTTTATGTGATATTTGTGTGTCCTTCCTGAATGTTAAAGCATTCAAGGATAGCAAAACATTTTCAATATTCCCACATGGCATTTATGATACATATACTTGCTACTGATACAAAGAATTCAGCTCGAAATATGTCAAAGAATGCTGAACAGTGGAACAACGAAAAACGGTCCTTAAAAGTACAAACAATTAAATTTCTACTTTTTTTGTTTACGTTACGTTACATTTTTGGTACTAAGATCGTACCAATATGTACTGTAGAGAAAAACTAAAATTCTTTATTTTATCAATTCTGATTGGAATAAGTCATAAGTTGCAACATATTTGAAAATTTGTACTAAAAGTACTCCAATTTTGGAATATTTTTTCAAATATTTCGTCCGGTATCTCACGAATAAATGCACCCAAGGCGTCAATTTGAAGCAGGCTCGTCATTATAGACATGAGCTTAACGTAGTCCCGCAAAAATTTGTCTAAAGGTTTTAAATCGCACGATCTAGGTGACCAATCGACCGAACCCGAATATGAAATTAAATATTCACCGATCAAAGTCGCATGGCGAACCCTCAATCGAAAGGAACGGCGACTCACATTAGGGAAAACATTCAGAGATAAATATAAAATAGGAAAAATGACGCCGTTTTAAAATTGGAAATATTTATTTTAGAAGTCAGAAAAATTAAATAATTTACTCGACCTTCAATGAAATCCTCTCAGTTGAGGTCTTTATGAGTAAACACCAAGGAGAAACCCTATATGACCTGGCAAAATTCATTAGAGAAACCAAAGCTGACATTTAGTAAGACCAAGTCCATAATTAGTATTGGCCACTGTAAAGGATTGCTTGTCAAGCCTGTGGACCATTTTCACCTTTCTCTAACTACCGTGGGTCTAACTACCGAGATAAAGTAAATAAAATTGGTTTTACTTGTGACATTGCAGTTTATCACTCAATCGGTTTAAATAACAATTTAAAACTCGTTCAGCTTATTTATGACTTATCGTTCAAATCGAATAAGGAATTTTGTTTTGTGGAATATTTCGTAGTTTCAATTATGTCTTTCCGTCCTTAAATTCTTAAATAAGATGAGACTTTTCGCCATCAAAACTTGTTCTTGATATTTGTATACCCTTAGCCATATGGCTAGTTATACCCTCAGCCATATGGCTAGATATATGATTTGATACGGCCAAAACGTACCTCATCGGAATAACGGTATTAGACCCTAGGTATTTTTGGCCTAGCGATGTCCATCCGATGGAATATATCGGTCCACTCCTTCTGGTACCTCCCCACAAAGGTCTAAATTTTTGAATATTCATGAAGCTCATAAAACACGAAATTAAAATTCGATTCCAGACTAAGCGCATCTCAATATTTCCATTAACACGAGATCTGTTATAAAGATGGTAGAGATCGGACCATTCCTTCTGATACCTCCTCCACAAAGGGTCACAATTTCCAATACTTTACAACTCTTTAAAACTTGCTATTTCTAAATATTTCTCTTAACCAGAAATCTGATACGAATATATAATTTATAGGAATTTATGATTTCACATTAAATTGGATATAAATGTTCGATTTCCTTAAAATTTGCTCATACCAATATTTTTATCTGTATTAGATGGAGTTTTTTTGGAGTTTTCACATTTTCCAAAGTATAGGAAGTAGTCGATATTGTCTAAATCTGTCACGTTGTAATATTTGTATCAGTCTCAGGTCATATACAAATTTGTCAATATTGGCCAACTGCTTCGGAACCTCCCCCATAAAGGGTCAACAGTTAGAATAATCATTACTCAAGGTTGGGGTTACAAGGTTACTCGGCTAAACCGACTGATACTATTTTACTTGTTATGTTTTCATTTTCGGTTTCAATCCCTGTAATGTGTAAAAAAACTTTCCGGAACCGAATTGTGCTAACGAGTATCGCGATGCCCTCCATCGGTATTTCTTTAGATGGTGCTCAAAGTTAAACGTAAGGAAATTTGCTATTTGGAAGTTTTCAGCCGGTTCTTAAAATAGGCTCGGAGCAGATCCCTGTCTTGGATAAGATGAAATACTTAGGGGTAGATATCAGGAAGGGTTTGTCCATTTTCGTCATATTGACAAAAGTAATGTCTATAGAGCCCGTTATTGCTTCGATAGGGCGCAAATAGATAGGGAAGATATCTTTGTGACGAAAACTGGACTGACATTTTTAAAACAGATGCTAGTTCAGAGATAATATCATTGTTGAACGTATATTAAGGTACTTTGAGGATGCGGACCAGCTTAGCGCTTAGAGATAATTGGTGTTTTTCTATTTAAGAAGAGTTTTAAAGTTATTTTTTTCATAATTATGTCTGATAAAGCGAATTTCGAATTCCGATTTTGAAAATTAGGTTGTTATTACACACGCATTTTTATAAACTGATCAAGAAATTCCCCTTCTTAAAATTTGTAGCCTTATAATGCATGGTTTTACTGTGCTTAGCATGTGTTGCTGTCAGGAATCTTCCTGGTGTGCTATTCAACATTTTGCTCACGTATTGTCTACCTTTAGGTATGGGTTTGCACTGTTTTTTGCGAATGCCGTCTTAATGTGCAACACATGGCTATGAATTATGATATCCCTCGATTGGATAACAAGTTGTTGAGTAAGGATGTTGTAGGAGTAAGGATGTAAATTTAATATTTGATTTTTTTTAAATGAATCCATTGCCAGATATATGTAGTTTAATAGAACCAAATCGTAAACATTGAATACTGCGTCAGTGGTGTTTGAACTATTTTTAATTTCAAAATATAATTTAATTATATAAACTTAGGAATAGTTTTATTTAGACTGTAAATTTGTGTTGCAACAAGTGATAAATAGACTAATGAGCATTATCTATTTACCGTATACCTCAAGGAAAATGAGTGTAAAGGCAACCAAAAAAGCTTCTTTGGGGAAGACCGACTATAAAAATTCAAATGTCAAATTTGTACTAAACTAAGGTCAGACATAAAAATGTAATATGCCGACCCACTCTTTATGTTACATCCAGCATGACACAACTTTGGACGGGTAAAAGCCGAATAAGTTGTGATGTCTAGCGAAATTCGATGAAATAATATAACCGTTATAATATTGAAAAATTCTGAATTCCACACAAAGGGAATTAAGTAACAATGTTGAACCAAACAACAATCTAATATTTATTCCCTACAACACTATGTGTTGGTGGTATTATAAGTTTGATTGAGTCAAAAATTATGTAACACATTGAAATATTGGGCTCCGACATAGGAAACCATATATGGATCCTCCTATCTCTCCGAGTTGAGTCGATCTAGCTATGTATGTCCTTCCGTCTGTCTGTCCATGTTAATTTGTAATCAAGCTACAGGTCGCAATTATGGCCCGATCTTCGCGAAATTTAATATGGAGGTGAGGTTGAGGTTGAATAGAACCCTATTGATTTTGAGGCGATAACAAAATAATTAGGGGTTGAATAGACCAAAAATAGGAAAAATTCATGATTTTTATGTTGCTCTGCAGGTCACAATTATTGACAAATCCGAATTTTGCGTGCAGTTAGAGTTTAGCACTGGGCAGAAGCATACCAATTTGGATGGTCATCGGACAATATTTAGCGTGTAAAATAGACCATAATTTTTTTTTTTTGTTAAATATACGAAAATTTCCACTAAACCGCGAATATTTTTAATACTTTCGAAATCACAAACACACGAAAATATCACTTCTGGTCGTTACATTGATGCTCATATCCAAAATATCACATATACAGCAAAATATATCAAAAAAGGGGATGTTAGTTAGACCGCTATAAGTCCAGAACCACTGGACTGGTTTCCACAATTCTAATCAATTCTGAATGGTCTCTTGCCAGAAGAGAATAAAATCTAAGAAAATAGCGAAGTCAAAAAAGTGAATATTTATTGTTAATTTGACTTACAATTTTGAATTGTAAATTTTCAAAAGTTTTTTACATCCCCCAACTCTATGTGTTGAAGGTATTAATTTGGACATAAGGCGGCTTCCAACATATTACAGTGTTGTAGGGTATCACATGGTTGCTCCCGCATGTCTATAGTTTTTGCTTACTTGTTTTTATTAAATTTATATTAGGCTCAAAATAAATAGTGTATTGTGAGATAAATTTTTAACATTCTTTTTTTTAATTTTTCTTTCTTATTTTATTTTGGCTTGAGGTCAGTAGAATAAAAAACAATTAATTTTGTTTCATCATTTTATTTCCAATATTTCGATCGGCATCGACGATCTTCATCAGGGATTGAAATTTGTTTATATTCTTAAAAACAATTTCACTTCCACATCACATTACAGAGATTTTCAGACTTCAGACAGAAATTGTTTTTAAGAATATAAACAAATTTCAATCCCTGATGAAGATCGTCGATGCCGATCGAAATATTGGAAATAAAATGATGAAACAAAATTAATTGTTTTTTATTCTACTGACCTCAAGCCAAAATAAAATAAGAAAGAAAACTTGAGTCCAAAGGTCAACTTTTTTTTAATTTTAAAATATCGGAAATAGCATCAAATTTTAGAATAAGTTCAGATTTGTTCGAATTGGCCACCTTTGGCACGAAATATGTCCTTCAAACGGCCAATGAAACCGTCACACGCTGCCCGAATGTTGCTCTGTGGTATTTCGTCCCATACCCGGCGAAGCGCTTGGTTGAGGTGATCGACACTTTGGTATTTTTTAGTGCCAACCTTGCTTTCCAAATTACTCCAAACACAATAGTCCAACGGATTGGTATCCGGAGATTTTGGTGGCCATTATGCGCTGAAAATGAAGCGAGGATGTTGCTGAGTCGTGTTGGAGTGTCCATGGTCTGCGGCCAAAATGTTCGCTTTAATACACCCTCCAGAATATTTTCGCGATAATATTCAGAATTTATTCTGATGCCACGGTCGATTAATACTAGCGGAGAGTGACCATCGACTGTTATGGCGGCCCAAACCATCACCATGGCCGGCGCTTTATTTCTGGTGGCCAACCGAAGGTGCACATTTCTTTGGCAAGTAAACATGATCATTTTGTTTGATTGCAAACTACTGGACAACGAATATTTTCTCATCGGAGAAAATAAACTCGGCAGTTTCGGCCGAGCGAAGCAACTCTTTGGCTCTTTTCTGTTGCGGTGTAAGTTCTTCCACTTTTTGGAATTTCAATGGCTTTACCCAGCCAAATATAAAGAAATCACACTATCACGCTTGAATTCCATCCCGAATAATTTTTTTTATGGAAAATTCTCACCAAAATGCTTGTAAATAATAAAATGAGCTGTAACTGGAATAAAAGCTAGTGTAAGAAAGAGTTAGTGTAAAGAGGGGACATTACAGTCCAATCTCTCCCTAGTATCACCATCGAACAAATTGTACAATATATTAAAACTAGTATATCATATAAAAAGCAATGACTCCACACTGTCAAATTTGTACTAATCTTAGGACAGACATAAAAATTGAAAATGTCGAATGAGTTAGAAAATAAATAAATACGTTTTCCTAAACAAATTGATATTCACACGCCCAAACTGCACAATACTTAGAATTAATTAAAACAAAATATTGTGTGGATGAAATATCGATATCTTCGATATCTCTACGGATTTATTTTTTTAGCAGCATCCCACATTTTATAAGCTTATTTAAAGCACTTTTCCATCTCTTTTACATTTCTTTACAGATGTTGCTGCGGCCAGGCTCGCGTAACCCATCAAACCATCGCTGGCATCGAAAGTGGTTCTCCAGGTGACTTGTGGTTACCCCATAAGCATACCAGGGCGCAGCCCACCGATGCTTATGGCACCATTGAATTTCAAGGTGGTGCTCATCCCACCAAAGCCCAGGTTTGTCTCCAATGGACTATTGAAAATTTTCATAACCATAAGAATGGCAGAATACCAACGAAAGAGAGGACTCGTCAATATTTTCTTTTGCATTTTTTTCTTGGTTTTGTTCGCCCATTCTGTTGGGGCATTACATTGAATTTCTTAGTCAATGTCATAAGCATCGTTATCGCTGTCTATTTTTATAGACGACGAACGATGACGACTACGACGAAGACGACGAAGAAGGAGAACAAGTACCACAAATAAATAAAGGATATTTTCCCTCAATTCAAAGTCAATGTTCCGTGTGCTTTTCGATAAAGTTTTTTTTTACTCCATCTTTGGGTTGGTTTCTGTGTAACCCAGTTTCTGCCTTAAAATTCAATTTTCTTATGGCTTTGTTAAGAATTAAATAAATTTCCTTTTTTGGGCGGTTCTTCTTTGCAGTATGTTCGCCTTTCATTTGATACCCGTCCAGAATTATTGGTGCAGCTCTTTACCAAAGAATGGAATTTGGAATTACCAAAACTCCTGATAACAGTACAAGGTGGAAAGGCAAACTTTGAGCTACAGCCAAAGTTAAAGAAGGTATGTATATTTTTAAATTGTTTGTGCTGTAATTTAATACGTGGTTTTTGGTTAAGTAATGATTAATTAAAATTATGTTAGTATTATATTTTTCGAAATTGCGTCATTCCTCCAATTTAAAAGAGGAAATTTTAAATAATAAAGAAAGGTCACTGCTATCCTGAAAATGTGTATGAACAACAATTCGAATCCTCAAAAATAATGATGAATACAAATTATTTGGAAAGAGTCGCACGAGACGTGAGGGCTGTTGTCAAATGTACATTTTTTATACCCTCCACCATTCTATGGAGGGTATATTAGCTTTGTCATTCCGTTTGTAACTCCTCGATATATTCACAATAGACCCTACAAAATATATATATTTTGGATCAGCGAAAAATTCTAAGACAATCTAACAATCTAGCGATGTCCGCCTGTCTATCTATTGTAATCACGCTATCTTTCGAACGAATTGAGATAGAAGACTACAATTTTGCATACATGCATAGTTTACCAGTAAATGGGCCATGTCGGTCCACGTTTTCGTATAGCCCCCATGTGAGGGTATCTCCCGATACTCGGTACTTTCAATAAGTTTTGCGACATTATTCACCGTAATTACTTACGAACCCAGGGCCTCGTCTTTGTATGGTCCTCATATAACGGTTTTCATTTAAGTGGTAGTTTGCGGATTTTTTTTTAAATCTTCAAGTTCCTTCCAAATGGTGGAGGGTATTAAAAGATCGACTTAGTTGCTTTTTTACTTTTTTCCATTTGTATTGAGAAATGCTGAATTTTGAATAACAAAAACTCCGATTATCTTTAAAAATCACATGAAATAATTAGATAGTTTTAGTAATCGCATGAAGATGAGAATACCTCCATCTGCTATATTTCCCACAAAGGGTCAAATTCTTAAATTATCATAATTGATTTATCATACATTGTAGAAGAAACGTACCAAATGAGAATTATATACAACTTAACTTTTCAAAAATTTATCCGCATCAAACATTAAACTACATTTTAAAGTAAAATTTTAAGTACTGTTTCACTTTTAGTTCTATTCGCGATGCAAATCGGGAATTTTAAAATTTCATTTCATTTTCATATTTGTCGTATGTAGTCTATATAGATTCTCAGTAATATGCATTTGATATCGAAAAAGTCGTCCCTACTCTACTTTACATATTTTCTTTATCTCTAAAAACCTCATAAAATATGTTTCTAAACAATGTTTTTCGAACTTATTTTTGATTTATCTAATTAACTATTTGATTTTATTCCATTCTCCGTAATGTTCGGAATGAAAACGATATTTTTATTCATTTTTAAATTTATTTTGTCTACTCTCAAAGTAGCCTAAATATAATATTTTTGCCAAATCAACTGGAGAATTTGGTCAAGTCGCTCGAAATAGATTAAATCTGGAGGTTCCTTTATATGGGCTCTACTCTGAGACACTGGCCTATATTGAAAATCCTCTGAGAGGCAATTTTCGACCGTCTTAGAAACCTAGTAAGGACCAAATCAATTGAAAAATGTGGAAATAGCCCCGGAAATAGCTAAAATCCGGGGTTACATAAAAACGTGGGAATATATTGATCATTTTTTGCAAGGATGGTTTCTTCCTAGTAAGAATTCAAAATACCAAAATTAGAGGAAATTTGTGTGAAAAGAACACAAGCCTAAATTTATCAAAATACCGAATAAGGGAATGTACGATTATATGGGCGCTAAAGAAGAACGTACCTTCTCGAGATATCGAGATATACCGTAATATGGTCCTGTGTGGACAATATTAAGCCTCAGGAGGTAGATTCCAATAAAAACTCAAAATACCAAATTTTATTTCGTTAGAAAATGTGGCTAAAATCGTCAAAATTCCGAATATCATTTGGTACAATTATATGAGGCCTATACGAAATAGTGGATTAATGTAGACAAAGTTTTGCTATAGAATGTAGATCCCATTACAAACTTTAAATACCGTATTTTAAATTATTCCGTTAGAAAGTGTGGTTAAAATCGTGAAAATACCGAATATGGAGAGGTACAATTATATGAGGGATATACGGAAACATTGACCGATATGGATCATCTTTGAACCTGACCTAACTGCAGACAAAATACAACTCTAAGCGAAATAGTAGATTTCTACCACATGCCGTTTGGACTTCAGCGTGATTACAACAAACGGAAAGACACACGGACGGACGTGGCTAAATCGACTTAGAATTTTACTCTGATCAGGAATATTTACACTGTCTATAATGACTATTTTAATGAGTTACAAACTGAATGACAAACTCCACATACATTGTACGGAGGGTATAAAAATATGGCTAATAGTTAAAAATACTTCAAATCGGGGTATACGCTTTAAATGGGGGAGTGGCTGTCATAAAAAATAAAAAAATTGTTTCTTCTTGAAAACAACCATAACTCCTGCGAACAAAAGCCAAACTTAGAACGTAAAAAGATAGAAGTTGGTATTTTTTCGAAATGCAGACTGACTTTTCTAAGTGTTTTTTTTTTTAATATTTCTTCTTGGATAATTTTTGGCCAAAGTTGTGTCATTCTTTGACCAATAAACCGGTTACTCCAACATCGAACTTTACCGCTCAGAAGTTTGTCTAATTAGTAAAATAGGAGCAAAGTACGGCCTTTTAATTCCGCCCACCTTTTTTTAAATGAACTTGAGAATTTAAAAAAAAAATCCGTCGAAAAGTAAAATAAAGTGCCGATTCCGAACTTCAAATACGATATTTGAACCAATTCTGGTGAATAATGTCTGGTGAATAATGTCTGGTGAATAATGCCATTATCATCAATATACTGAATAAAGTCAGGTACAGTTATATGCAGGTTATAAGAAAACGTGGACCGACTTGGTCCATTTACGAACTTATCCTACCTATTGGAAAAATATTCGTTCCAAAGATAGCGTGATTATAACGGACAGACAGAGGGGCGGACATTGTCTTAGAATGGTCCCCTGATCAAGAATATATACTTTGTTGGGTCTAACATGAATACTTCGAAGAGTCACAAATGGAGTGACACCACAGTTGGTGGAGGGAATAAAACTATTGGAACAAATAATGAGCAAAGAATAAATCAAACAAATACACTTATTTTACCTACTTTTAATCCTAATACTATGTATTTTTATATATACTGACCAGCCATAGACATTTTCCCTTTTATAACCTTGTTTGTATTGCTCCTTTTTAACGCTCAGAATTGTCTGATTGAATTTTGAATTGATTTTAATCTGAAATTAAAATACTAAAATAATCTGCGTATTTTAATGATAATCAATTGGTTGTGCAAACCCTCTGGTTTGCCTAATTAGATGTTTCATGCCATTTACTCACCGTGTAATTTATTTCCTTTTTAGTCTGTTTGTGAAATATATTCCATTAATTCAGTGAAATTAAATGCAATGTTTATTTCCATTTTCAATTTTAGGAAATTCGCAAGGGCCTACTGAAAGCGGCCAAAACCACAGGAGCGTGGATTTTCACTGGTGGCACCAACACAGGTAATATTTAATAGCAATGCAAATATTTGCCAATCAATCGCATTCGTTTTTGTTTTACAATATTAAATATGCAAACACCCCGGCTCGTGTCGCACCGTTTTTTTTTTTGCCTTTTCAAAAAAAAAGAGATTTTGATGAATTTACATATTTCATCCTAAAAACGTGCTCTCCTATGAATACATTTTATTTGGACGAATGTAAATTGTCTACGTACGGACACGAACATATGCACAGCAAAAAAATTCCATTACCCACACACACGCACTCACACACCCACGTCATTTTTGTTTTGTGTGAATGGATACTTCGGAAACGGATACACTTGACATGTTTATGATGTTTTAATATTGGACGAATATTACCAAGGTAGCTGATACATATGTACATAAGGGTATAACTTTTTTAAGTATATGGGTCAATTTTTCAGCATTGAGTATTAGAGCTTTATTCTTTAAAAGTCGATATTTTTGGTTAACATCTAAAATAAATATTAATACCAAAGCCCTTTTAAAAACATTCGATAACATCGCTATATAATGAGAAGAATGAGCAAAAACTGTGTTTAGTTCGGGAGAGTCTAACTTTCTGTATCTTTCCACCATTTAATGACTTAAGTTAAAATTAAATTAAATTTGGGATTTCCATTATCTGAGCGATGTTACCAAGACCATCGAATACAAGAAGATACCGCTATACGAGTGATATATCAAAAAGGCGACTTATGTTGAAAACTTTTCGATAACTTTTGAAACTTTTTGATTCCAGTCTGATGCGACTGAAATGTTCAAAATGTTTCTGTTACGGATGGGCTAAGCTAAACCGTTTTTGCACACAAAAAATGAGAATTGCTTTTTGAAAATCAAAAAAAGTTACAACCTTAATGTACATATGTGTTCGAAAAATAACCACCACCATCCCTTGCATACGTGTGGGTGTTGATGTCAAAACATGCCAAAGAATCAATGTGTCAATGCATTTGATGTCCTTTTTAAATATGTTAATGTTTTGCATTTACTTGATGTACTTTTGCGGTCCATTTCCTTCCGGCCTTCCTTCCTTCCTTGCTTCCGCTGTAAGGTAACTTTATTATTTTCTTTGTCTTTACAGGTGTAACCAAACAAGTCGGTGATGCTCTGCTCCTGGAAGGTCAACAACGTACCGGACGTGTTGTCAGCATTGGTATAGCGCCGTGGGGCATTGTCGAACGCAATCATGAACTGTTGGGTCACAATCGTGAGGTACCCTGCCACAGCATCAGTTCACCAAGGTAAGCCCCCAGAGAGCTGACATTGTTTTAGTCATTGTATTTATTTTCCATTAGAGTGGTTGAATTGTAGTTTACAAATGCTCTGGCCAGTTAACAAATATTGGACAAGCATTTGAAGCGAAAAAAATGTTGGGTTGTGCTTAGGTGTGTTTTTTTTTTTTTTTTTTAATTTGTCAGCGGCAACAAAAGAGCAATCAATTTTACAAAAGGAAAACTCGACCTATAGCAATGCAAGATTTACTAATTTTTCCGATTCTTTAAAAATAATTTTGAAAAAAATTAAATATTATTTTAAGATTAGACAAGACAGCAAAAAATATCACAGGAATACTAATCTGATCCAATTATTTGTTTTCATTCAAAATCTGATAGCCTGCTCCAGTAGAATCTAGATAATTCGTGTAAAGCCTTTTTATTGTGTTCCAAAATTTTTTGGTTGAGCTTTCTATACGTAGAGCGAAAGGGAGACGCTTGAGGCTCTAAAAATAAGCCATTGGACCAAAAAAATGCATTTTCTTCAAAAGAATTTACTTTATTGGACTAACGAACCTGAAAGTGACAAAAATATAATTCAACCATTTACACATTAGAAGATTAACTTTTGTATTTTACAAACGAACTTGGGTGTTTTAGGCATTATTCGGGACAAATCATCCATTCTACTTAACCTCATATGGGCAGATTGTATTTACCATGTAATACAGTCAAATATATTATCTTCCGCTATGGTGACATATGCAGTCGATCTAACCGTGCCTGTCCTATTTATTTTTACACATCCACAAAAAAGTCTTCCAACATGCAGAGTTTACATTAATAATACTGTACAATTTCTGGAGATTCAACTTGAACGGGGACAAATAAAAATATATTTTCTTTAAACGGACTGATTTTCGAAGCTGGACAAAGAAGGTCGACAATGCAAAAACTCCAATTTTCGAAGTTAACAAAAAGAAACTCCTTTTTTCCGCAGAAAGTTGCTCACCCAATATGAATTTATACGTCTGCGCGCTCTATTTTTATATTCTTCCCGTGCAACTTTTCGTCAAGCTCCACAAGATATATTTTCAGTCTTACATATAGTCAACGAAGGTGAGACCAGATGCAATGATCGTGCAATCATCCGCATAAGTTACGATCTCAGTACTGTTTGGAGGACGAAGCATTCTGTAGAAGTGGAGGTTAAACAGTATCATCGGTTTGGATGACTTAGCGATGACCTTTGCAAAATCAATCATCGGAAACTGTGATAGTTCTTCCTCGGCGTGAAGAGATCATGACGTAATAGTCTTAGCTTTGCCTGTCACTCACGGAGTACTTAACAAATTAGCAGTTGGATAAGCTAGAGCTACTCTTCGGATCGTTCGCCGTTACATCGTTAAATGTGACTAAATTCCTGTAATTTTCCCCATGTTTCGCAACTTTCTCATATCGATTCAAATATTGAACAACTTTATATGGCCTATCCACTTTTATCTCCTATGCTCCTGTACCAACCATCCGGTTCACATCTCGTGGTGGGCATTGAAATCCCCTAGTACCAGACGGCTATTGCATTCTCTAAACGTTCCTATCATTTCCGCATTTTCGGACAGCCCCATACATTCAATGTATGAGTTACTAGAGATTGGCTCAAGCGAGATAATTCTGTATTGAACAGAATAAAGCACGTCGAATACCTAAAATAGAATTTCAGGGTCCGCCAGCTGTTGTCACCTCAGTGTATATATTTTCGTGTTTTTTATCCCAACTATTAGAAATTTCTAGCGAAAATAGATTTCAAGACTGTATTGATTCCAGATATATTAAAGGTGTACCATGCGATCGATATTGGAAATATATATGTTATTATAACCTTTGAAAATCAGATACATTGTTATTACATAATCCAATATCTTTAAGGATTCGTTACAGAAACTTTACCTCAAAATATAGAGGTTTAAGGGTGCCTGTTATTGTTCTTAGAACATTATTACAAGAAATTATCAAATATCCTATTACAAATTACATTCGCCCCTATATGGCAAAGGTTTCAAATAAATCCAGTAATATTGAAGTGAATATAAATTTTCAAACAAACCACTGTGTCGCAGCTAATCTCGTTTTATTTCTAGGAAAGGGCTGGATTTAACAACAAGAACAAGAGCAATTAAATAGAATTTATGTTTCGTTGGACTTTCAAAGTAAAATAGAAGCACGCTCTTGAGATTTACAAGAAATAGCAAATAATGTCCAATTCAAAAATATATACAATTGCTAATTTTCATTTACTGTGTTTATTTGCTTTGAGCGGGAGGAAGGGTTCCCACTGAAGGACAGCGACTAATCATTACAAAGTTTTCGCTTTTAATTGCTGTCGAACTCTTTCACAACATTTGTTTAAACTTTTTTCATTCTGTTTGTCTTCATTTCAGATCTAAACTTGCCGTCCTTAATAATCGTCATGCTTACTTTTTGCTGGTCGACAATGGAACTCAAGCGAAATATGGTGCCGAGTTGATACTGCGCAGGAAGCTAGAGAAGTTCATATCGAATTTGAAACTGCATCCTTGTAAGTTGAAGTTGCATCATTATGCAGGATAATATACTCCTAATTTTTTGCTGTTATTGTAAATAGTGGAAAATTTTGTGGAAATAGTTTGCATTTCAATTTAAAACAGAATGATTGCAATCCAAACTGTTTCATGACATTGAAAATTCCGCACATTTTTTTATGACCAATCCCCTCCTCCCAATGGTAAAATAAACTTTCACTTTTCGAAATGCAAATCGTTTAACAACATTGAAAGACATGTTCCGGCATTGTAAACATGCATTTCATTCATTCCACACCGTGGCGTCTATAGTAGCATAACGAGAGAGAGAGAGACAGAGAGAGAGAGAGAGAAAACAAACGCAACAGCAGCATCGTTGCAAATTACCATGTAATTTATTCCCCATCCTCTCTCCTCGGGACAATTACTCGACATCCCATGATGACGAACATGAAATACATATTCCAACAATGTCGGACAAATTCATTCCATGAATCCGTGGCATTACTGCGACATGTTCAAAGCATGTTGTAAAGCACACCAAACTTTTTTTCGACAGTCGTTTGTATACCCTCCACCATACTATGGAGGGTATATTAATTTTGTCATTCCGTTTGTAACTCCTCGAAATACTCATGTCAGACCCAACAAAGTATATATATTCTTGATCAGCGTAAAATTCTAAGACGATTTAGCCATGTCCGTCTGTCTGTCTGTCTGTTGTAATCACGCTATTTTTCGAACAAATTGAGATAGAAGGCTAAAATTTTGCACACATGTATATTTTGCCAGTAGGCAGGTTAAGTTCGAAAATGGGCCATGTAGGTCCAAGTTATCATATAGCCCCCATATAACGGTACCTCCCGATATTCGGTATTTTGATGATTTTAGCGACATTATTCATCGGAATTGTTTCAAATTTGGCATTTGAAGTTCGTAATAGATACTACATCCTAAGTCCAAAAATGAGCCATGTAGGTCCACGTCTTCATATAGTCCCCATATAACGGTACCCCCCGAAATTCGGTATTTTGATGATTTTAGCGACATTATTCCCCGGAATTGTTCCAAATTTGGTATTTGAAGTTCGCAATAGATACTGCAGCATAAAACAGAAAATGGGCCATGTAGGTCCACGTCTTCATATAGCCCCATATACCGTTCCCCCCGATATTCGGTATTTTGATGATTTTAGCGACACTATTTACCGGGATTGTTTCAAATTTCGCATGTGAAGTTCGTAATGGATACTTCAGCCCATGCCAGAAAATTGTCTGTGCATATAAACAAATTTTTCTTCAAGTTTCGCATTTAAATATTGTAATAACTTATGACAAAAGTTGCCTATGCAGGTCCACGTCGTCGTATAAGCATTCGGTATTTTTAAGATTTTAACAGAATTTTTAACGGATTTTATTTATTTATTTATTTATTTTTGTGGAAATTGCCAAATTTGTACCAAGTGGTGGAGGGTATTAAAAGTTCGGCCCGGCCGAACTTACAGCTTTTTTACTTGTTGTTGTTGGAAATGTTGTTAAATGGTTTTTCTATCGCTTCAAATGGTGATAGTTTCTGTTGGCTGCTGCTCCTTATTTCACGCTCTGTTTTCTTTTATTTGTTGCAGTTACACATTCCAGTACTCCCGTCGTGTGTCTTGTTATCGAGGGCGGTACAAATACGATACGTGCAGTTCTTGAATACGTGACTGATACGCCACCCGTGCCAGTGGTGGTCTGTGATGGATCTGGGCGTGCTGCCGACCTGATAGCATTCGTACACAAGTAAGTAACAAAAGCAAACACTATCACCGAAAAAAAAACTATCCGTTTCTTTGAGCATCGCACATCGCTTCACTGGCTGATTGACACAGGTGGGTTGGTTAGTGAGAAAGCATTTGGTATATGACCACAATTGTACCTGTACATGCTTGCAGTGCAGTGTCAAACATATAACCGTTCAAGGAGACATATGACAAAACGAATGATTATGCTTGACTTTATGTGAGTGTGTGTGAATAAATGAGCTTTGTTATGTGAAATACATTACACTCATCTAAATATTACATCAATGAACTGACAAATGTGTGAGATAAAAATAGTAAAAGTGGATTGCGAAATCTTTAAAGGGCTTTTATACCGATGAGTTTAGTTCGGGATACATTTTTTTTTAAGTTTTACATTTTTAAGTGGTATCCTGCAAGAAGAAAATTTATCCATTTGTGAAATTTAGGGCTTTTGACGATACAAATTCACTATCGATCTCTTATCAAAGAAACCTGGCAATTTCCTATTTAGCTTCCTTTTTGCAGTACATTTTGCGTTCTAACTTACAATTAGGTCTTTTACAACTAGTTATGGGTTGGCGTAGAATAGACAAACCCATAAAGACCTGGGAAACCTAAAATACCAAAATTTATTAAAAGCATTTGGAAAATGTAATTAATCCTTAACAAGAGAAACCAGTAACTAGGAAATTTTTCCTGAGCCAAACTTTAGACGCCCTCCGCCATTAGAAGACAATCGCGTTTATTTTTATTTGTTTTTCGAAAGATATATGTTGAATCTGAGAAGAAATATTAAAATATCGTTAATTTCTCATGATCAAAGAAAACAGCCTAATAATACCTCCGCACCAAACAGTTACTCGTTTTGATGGGTGCATTGGCTTGATAAAAGGATAAAACTAATTATCTTTCAAATCCATTACCATTTATGAAATAATCACTGCTTGAAAAAGAGTGAGATTGGGGACCCTATTCGTACCCAGCAGATCGATGTTTGCCAACAAATTCTTGTTTGCTACTGATCCTAAATCATACAAACAAAAAGTATCATAAACTAAATATAACTGTAACTACTAAGAACAATAAAGTCACTACCAAAAGATGAATAGCAGAATTAAGAATTAAATCCATTGAGAAATGTGCCGAATATAATCAAAATTCCTGAAATCGGGAGGTACGGTTAATTGGAGGCTACATCTGAATGTGCGAAAGCTATTATAGCACCGAATGTCGTGAGATACTGTTTTAAACTATATAGTCTTCAAAGCCATATAAATGTTAGTTTAGATTTGTTCGAATTGGTCAACTTTGGCACGAATTATGGCCTTCAAACGGTCAATAAAACCGTCACACGCTGCACGAATGTTGATCAACGGTATTTTGGTCCATTCCCGGCGAAGAGCTTGCTTGATGTGATCGACACTAGCATTTTTTAGTGCCATCCTTGCTTTTCAAAATACTCCTGGCACAATAGTCCAACGGATTGATATCCGGAGACTTGGTGGCCATTGTGCGCAGGATATGAAGTGAGGAACCTCATTTTGTAACCATTCTTGGGTGGCGCGTGCTTAGTTGCGATTGTGCTGAGTCCTGTTGGAATGTCAAAGGTCTGCGGCCAAAATGTTTGCGTGCCCAAGGGTGTCTTAACCTCCAGAATATTTTCGCGATAATATTCGACATTTATTCTGATGCAACGATCTATTAATACGAGCGGAGAGCGACCGTCGGCTGTTATTGCGGCCCACAACATCACCATTGCCGGCGATTGAGTTCTGGTGCCAACTGAAGGTGCACATTTTCAGCTGACCTCTTTGGCAAGTAAACATGATCGCTCTAACGATAGCCACTTGTGGTTTTCCAGCCAAATATAAAGATATGACATTTGAATTCCGTCACGAATAACTTTTTTTCTGGAAAAATTTCACCAAAATGCTTTTGTACGCTTGTAAACAATAGACAGCAGTCTGAAGTTGGTTGCAGTTTTTTCATCTCACGCTGTATTTATTGTGTCTGTGTTTAAATAAGGGGTTAGCATTCTGTTTTGTAAGTAGTTACTGGTGCCAAAACGTATTTTAAAACTCACTATTTAGATATAAGTTTTTTTTTTACTGGAAATTTGCAATCCTTCTAAAATTTTTCTTGGCGAAGGTTTTCTAGTAAAAAGTTTTTAAGTGGAGCGTTAGTCAACGCCATTGTTAATGAACTACAGGTTTCATGTTATTAGTTTTAATCAGACACTACTTCTTTGAATAAAAGTATGCTAACCCAGGTTAAAAGTTTCATTGAAAAATTTGTCTGTGTAACTTCTACCTTGATGCAGGAACGGGTTTCTTGTAAAGAGTATTCTATAAAAAAATGGAACAACTTATATTTACTGTGAAAACTTTTTGCTTTAGGTACGATTTAATTGAAGACTTACAAAGCTGAGACCGTAGTCCAAATGGAATCGTGTTTGATTTTGATTTAATTAAGAACAAATGTCCCTTAAATTCTCTATCAACTTCGCCTTTCAAATAGTTTAGAAGCTGTGCGAATTAAATACCATCATATTTTGTATAGCCCTCAGTACCTTCAAAGATATATGGCCATGTATTATATTTTCAATAACATTTAATTCATTTTAATTCCAAGTTGTTAACCTCTTTTAATCCCTAATAAATTTAACCCCCTTTTTATTTTCATTTCCCCTTTTTAAAGAATTTCTGAAAAGTTTTATAAAATATGCACAAATACAGAATAAACAAATTTTAATTACATTCAACCTTTGGGAGGCCATAGCCAAACGTTCCCTTTGTCTTTGGTAACTGAAACCACTTTCGCCGCAATTTGATACGGGGAGTGGCTGGCAAAACCCCAAACCAATGGAAACATAAATGTTGAAAGGTCGGCTATTATAATTTGGTGGTGGTTGGTGGTCATTGAAAGTGCTGACTGTTGTGGTTTTGCATTTCGCCAAACATTTACTATGTTTTAATTAATTATTTTTTGACCAGTTTCTGGAGCATTTTCTTGGCGTTTTTTTCTACACCGCAATTTATATTAAAGTCAGCCACAATGCAGCGGCTATGACAGTAAATTTTCCTATTTGTTGGTAAGGCAACCCATGGCCACCATTGTAATCCTTTCATTCAATTCATTGTTGCTGTGTTTGCAACTTTATTTAAAGCGCTATTTTTAATTTTCGAAAGATGTATCAAACTGATGGTATTTTCTTTCCTTCAACTTTTCTTTTCGATTTATTAATTTATTTGAATTTCTGTTTTCAGATATGCCTCGGATGGTGATGAACAACCGGTTTTGGAATCCATGAGAGATTATCTCATTGGCACCATACAGAAAACATTTGAAGTGGGCTCCGATCAGGCAGAGAAACTCTACCAGGAGCTGTTGCAATGCACTCGCAATAAGAACTTGGTAAGAAGCATGAAGAAGTTTTAATAAAAAATTAGGCTTCTATGTAGGTATCAAACCGTTTAAAAGTATATTCCTAAATTTCTTGGTTGCCTTCGAACTGAACATAATTCAATTTTGCTCGTTTCCTTGCAAATTTACTAAGTATTTCTACAGGCGAAGAAGCAAAAATGCAAAATTTCAATCAAATCGCTTGAAAATATGGCCAAAACAATCGCAATACCTAAAATGAGGGATATTTTTTATATAAGGGTGGAACTATATTGATAAACACAAAAAATTGTCGAAGTGGAAATTTGACTAAAACTTGAAATTGAGGTTAACTTTTATTTGCGGACTTTATCAAAAATTGATCGATATGACCCTTTTTTTAAACTAATGACTCTTAAAATAATTAACAGCTCCCTATAAATTTTAAAATTTTTTAAAAATGTTGTGGTCCCTTTGTATATAGTGCTTAAAAAAGATTGGCTTAAGGATCAAAAACTCTTTCGGAATTTGTCTTATCTTACATTTCTTTCCTGACCTAAGTTTGATATAAATATTGCGACGTGCCAGGTTTAAACCATATGCGTTTAGTCAAAATTAAAAAAAAAAATAATTTTTTGGGAGAGGTAACGAAAGTAGTGAGCCCAATTAATTCCATATTTACATCCCTGGTTGAGAGAAACATTTCAATAGTAATAATTATTGATAATTTGGCCTTTGTGGGGAGGCACTAGAAGGGGTGGGCCGATATTTCCCATTTTCACACCAGATCTTGTGTTTATAATATTAAGATGCGCGAGATTTGAAGAGTGTCGGATGATTATTACTCGTTTTATGAGAGAGAGATGGGGAAGGTAAAAGAAGGTGTTGATTTTTGTGTTGATAGGAATATTGGGACCTGCCTTGTTTGAAAGGAACGGTGTGCTTATTTCGCATTTTATGAGATTCATGATTATTCACAATTTTGATACTTTATGGGGGATGTACCAGAATTAGTTGTCCGTTTTCATACCAGACCTACAGTTATTTAAAATAATTTTATAAGCGTTGAGATAATTTAAAACCCCTTTGTAAGGAAAGTAGTAGAAGAAATGTGTATATATTGTCCATTTTCGCACTTGACCAAGTGCAGATACACATATTAAGATTTGCAAAGTTTGAACAAAATCGACATTTTGTGGGGGAGGTATCAGAAGAAGTGGATCCATGATGTCCATCTCCGAACTCGATCCACGTTTGATAATAATATTACGATACACAAAGATAGGACCAAATCGGATACAGACCGACAGACGGACACCCCTACATCGCCTCCAAAAGTCCCGAAACGGATTTGGTCCTAAGAGACCGTGAATCCAAAACCGTTACTAACCCTCTGTAGCCATATGGCTGAGGGTATAAAAAATAACCACAAAGAAATTGACCAAAAAATATTCGTGTTATTATTAGTAATATTGTAGAAGACATTATACAGGGTAGGAAAAAAATTTGACAAAGTCAAACGCCATAATTTTTACATTTTTTTTTAATTTTATGGAATGAAAAAATGTCGGAAATAGCATAAAATTTGTTCGAATTGGTCACCTGCTTGTGGTGATCGACACTTTGTATTTTTTAATGCCAACTTTGCTTTCCAAAATACTACAGACACAATAGTCCAACGGATTGGTATCCGGAGATTTGGGTGGCCATTGTGCGCTGGAAATGAAGCGAGGAATCTCATTTTGTAACCATTCTTGGGTGGCGCATGCTGAGTCCTGTTGGCCAAGGGCTTTAATACACCCTACAGAATATTTTCCCGATAACATTCGGCATTTATTCTAATGCCACGGTCGATTAATACGAGCGGAGAGCCCAGACCATCGGCTACTGTGGCGGCCCACACCATCACCATGGCCGGCGATTGATTTCTGGTGCCCAACCGAAGGTGCACATTTCAGCTGACCTCTTTGGCAAGTAAACACGATCATTTTGTTTGTTCACAAACTGCTGGACAACGAATGTTTTCCTATCGGAGAAACCCAAATTCAGCAGTTCACCACTTTCCACCAAGCGAAGCAACTCTTTACCTCTTTTGAGCCTATTTTCTTTCTTGACGTCGGGCTACGCTACCAGTATCACGGTAACGATCGATGATACGAGACACAAAAGATTTATTCACATTTAAATGCTGGAGTGATCTAACGATAGCCACATGTGATTTTCCAGCCAAATATAAAGATATCACACTTGAATTTTTGTACGCTTGTTAACAATATAATGAGCTGTCACTGGAATAATTTTAACAGCTGTCGGACGAGTGGCTTACAAAGTTGGTGTCAGTTTTTTCATCTCACCCTGTATGTATACAATACACGGATTCCAATTTATCTTAATCTTCAAATATCAAAATATGTCCTACTAATCCCATAGTCTTGAGGATATTTCCAATAATTAAAAAAAAAAAAATAATTTTGTCGCTCAGTGTTTTTTTACTTCCAACTCTAGGTATTTAAGTCAGTCTTCCAGAAAAACTGCTAAGGAACATTTGGCAATCTGTGCACAGTTAGCAACTACTTACCCTCTACATTACCAGTTTGTCCAAAAATGACGAAAACTAACGGAATAACTAACTAAGGAATGAGTACTTACATTGTTCTGTAAAAACATAACATTTGTTTAAGGAAGTGTCTACTGGTATAACTCATTATTTCTCAACTGAAGCTTACAAGAATTGTTAACAAAGGTCCAATATCCGAACTGTTGACTTGACCGCAATTTGCTATTTCAGGACCTTTGAATAAAAATGAACAACAAAGGTCCATAATATTGTGAACCACCCCAATTTTTGGACATTTCTCGCTCTCAATAGGAAAATACATCTTTCTGTGCAAACTTATATTACCGGCCAAAATAATTATCGAATTTTTCGATAAAAAAACGCAACCACACGAATGGGTCCTTATTTCTGATTTCGGATTTTTAGTTACCATTCTTTAATAATAAATACACAAATAAACACGCTATCTATCAATAACGATTATTTTAAAGCATTAGTTAATCTCAATATTCTTGAATTTAATATTTTTTCCATTCTTCTTTAATTGATTTCATCTCAATATTTAATACAATACGAATTACTCTCCAACAGATAACAATATTTCGAATTCAAGAAAAGCCAGAAGGTGAGGCACAGGAATTGGATCAAACCATTTTAACGGCCCTCTTCAAATCGCAGCACTTGAGTCCACCGGAGCAATTGAGTTTGGCATTGACCTGGAATCGTGTTGACATAGCACGCAGTGAGATTTTCGTCTACGGCCAAGAATGGCCGAACGGTAAGTTAATGGGATTGTAATCTGCAGAAAACGAAACAAAACCCCCCAAATAGCTCAAGAAACATCAATTGAATGGCGATGAGTCGTCACGACCCAATCATATCCTATTTCTCATAATGGACTTTGCATAAAATTTCAATAATTTTCTCATTTCCTTTTTCTTTCTATCATGTCTTTTTTCGGTTTTTGTTTATTCGCCTGTTTGTCTGTGTGGGTTTGGGTGTGGGTGCTTGCTTGCTTGCTTTAAATCCCCAAGGAGCTCTCGATGAGGCCATGATGCAGGCACTGGAACACGACAGAATCGATTTTGTTAAGTTGCTATTGGAAAATGGTGTTTCAATGAAGAAATTTCTGACAATACCACGCCTTGAGGAACTTTACAATACCAAACATGGTCCAGCAAATACTTTAGGGTAAGTGCCATCCTCTCTCTCCCTCTTTCTTCGAAATCATTTACATTTAAAAAAGAAAAAGATAAAAAAAGAAAACATGGGATCATTTTATTTGGCCCCAAAGGCTATTTATGTCGAGACATGTGTTCAACACAAAATATTTAATAATTTATTCTTTTGTTTGCCATTCCATTCCATTCTTTTCTTTTTTTCAGCTATATTTTACGCGATGTTCGTCCGCATATACCCAAAGGATACGTTTATACTTTACACGATATTGGTCTAGTTATTAATAAATTAATGGGTGGGGCCTACAGGTATGTACTCTCGTTCGCTCTCTCATTATAATATATTTTGTTTTCGATTTTCTGTTGTTGTTGTATTTGGTATTTATGGCACAAATCGATTTCATCCCAGGGATCCTGCCAGACTCTTTTCATTAAAATAATAGGAAACAAATAAAAACAATTAAATCATGGCAAATTCCAGGCTAAATAAATTCAAAATATGCTCTGTTCAAACCCATACCACCTACACATATCCATAGCCACAGTACTTGGTATATTGGGATTGTATGTAATTAATTTGTATTTAATTCATATATCATGGCAAATTCCAGGCTAAATAAATTCAAAATATGCTCTGTTCAAACCCATACCACCTACACATATCCATAGCCACAGTACTTGGTATATTGGGATTGTATGTAATTAATTTGTATTTAATTCATATAGATTATCTTGTTTTGAAAATGTATTTAAATTCTGTTCAGCATTCTGTTCGAAACTTAATTGATATTTAAATAAGAATGCTAGTGTATAATTTCGATTCAATAAAAAGGTAAATTTCTTTATAATTACGAACAAAGGCATTGTCCGTTCGGTTACTTTTCAAAATTCAATAGCTAAAGTTGAAAATGGTCAAAGTGGTGGAATAATGTAGGGATTTTCTAAATATCTTTGCAAAATGAAAATGGATAAGCATAAAAAGAAGAAAATTGTAGTTTCAGCAGCTTATGAGGAGAAACGGAAAAATAGAGGTTAAAATTAAAGCAATTAAACAAGTTTAAAATATCGTCCCCAAAGGACGAAACAAACTGTCCAAGAATTGCATTAAAATAGTAGCACAATGTTACGGTAAGGAATTTAATAATAGGCGTAATTTGTACCAACAACGCACTATGTAGCGAGTTCATATAAAAGATGACCAAAAATTGAAGAACCTCTGCCAAGGTTTCTGAATTTTTGTGCAATTACTTATTGTTGGCATATTATGTCTAGGACCAAATACTCGGAAGGTAGGTCCAGATTTTCGTATAACCCCCATATAACGGCATCTTCCGATTTTAGGTATTTTGACGATTTAAGCCTCATTTTTCTATTTAAATTGTTAGATATTTGGTATTAAGAGATTGTTATAGATTCTACATCCTGCGGCAGAACATTGTCTATATAGATCCACGTTTTCCTATAGTCCCATATCACGGTACCTCAAGATAATCAGTATTTTCAAGATTTAAGCCTTATTTTTCACGGCAGTGTTTCAAATTCGATTGTTGATGTTCGCAATAGATACTAACCAATTGCGTATATGGGATTACGCTTTCCTATATCCCCAATATAGCGGTACCCCCTGATAATCGGCATTCCTATGATTTTTACTTTTTCTTTCTAATGATTTTTTTTTAATTCTTTTTTTATATTCTGCAATGGGATCCACGTGTAGTGACGGAACCTTGCCTATATGGGTCCACGATTTTCTATATCCCCATATAACGGTACTTCCCGATATGGAAGATTTTCATAATTTTGCACTGCCGCCATTAAAATATCAGAAGTTTTTAACAAATTCTCCGAGTTCGTTGGGAATTGCTGTTTAAAAGGAAGCACGTTTGAATACTGAATCCGAATACATTTATTTTCAAAGATTTTCTTCATCTATTGGAATTGCTATTGGGTGTTCGGCCCAGCTGATCTTAACATGTTTTTACTTGTTGGTATTTTATTGTTTGTATGAGAGAAAATTGTTTGTACAGGTCCACGTCTTCGTATAGCCCACATAAAACGCCACCTCTCGATATTCGGTATATTGATGATTTTAGGAAAATTATGCACCGGATTTGTTTCAAATTTAGTATTTGAAGTTTGTAATGGATACTACAGCCTATGATAGAAAAGTGTCTGTGCAGGTTTCACGTTTTGGTATATGCCCCTCCGGTATTTTTCGGTATTTTGTCCTCGTCCACGTCGTCGTATAGACCCTAATATAACGACTACAATTGTTATTTTTAAGATTTTAACGGAATTTTTAACAGATTGTATTTTTTTGAAAATTGCCAAATTCGTTCCAAATGGTGGAGGGTATTCAAAGTTCGGCCCGGCCGAACTTACAGCATTTTTACTTGTTATGTAACGTAAATTCGCTCGATAATGCATTTCTTGCATATGCGTGTTTTTGGTCCATTTCATTCTTGTAGAGATGTCATGTCATATAATCGTGAAGAACTAAGCAACGAGATAATTGCCACATTTTTTCCTTCCTCTTCCGTATAAAGGAGAATTCTAAACAAGTTAAAAAGTACCAGTCGGTTTTGCCAATATTCAAAATTTAAAATATATTTTAACTGCGATATAATTATCCAAACTTTTTACCCTTTGTGGAGGGTCATTCGTGTCTGACCTAAGTCTTATATAAATGATGCAACATGCCATATTTGGACTATATCGATCTGAACACTTTAGATCAGTTTTAAAAAAATTAGCGTGTACAAGATATATTGGACTGAAGTATTCCACTTAATCTAATACGGAAACAATTTTTGAGTTGTGCAAAATGTATAGAAAAATTCAACATTTATTTCCAATTTTATGCTAATAATTTTAAAAATTTTCAAAGTTTTAAGCTTTTGGGAGATTTAGCAGAAGGAGTGGGCCGATCAATTCCATATTCACATCAAATCTTAAGTTGAAAAATAATTTAGTTATACAAGGTTTTGAAGAATCACTGACTTGTTTCGCATAAATCTTGAAAATTGTAACCCTTTGTGGGGAAATACCAGAGGGGGTGGACCGATATGGGAAATTTGAAGAGAATCCAGATGTTTTTTTGAGGAGGTACCAGAAAGAGAGGATTATAGATGTCAGTCGTCTCTTTCTGGTACCTCCATCTTCACAAAAAATCGTTCAAATTTCAAAATTTATAAAAGTTTTAATACTCGCTTCAAGAGTTAGCCAGACATACAGAGAGACAAACGGACACCACTAGATTAACTCCACGTGTCCTGAATCGGATTTCTTCCAAAGAGACCTAGAGTCTAAAACCGTTATTTCGACGAGAGGACTGAGGGTGTAAAAAAACTTGAAGTTTAAAATTCCTTTATATGTCTACGATTTCTGAATACAGAATCTTCGTCGTTGTAAAGGTCAGAAGTTCGATTATCAATTATTTCTGATTTCGTTTGAAAGTAAATTTCGGCATCAGAGATATTCCCAATTGAATGGAAATTTTAATATTTTTTCAATAGAAAAATAAATAAAAGCTGTAGGCCATTGCATCTGTTAAACATTATCCAAAAACTCTCCAAAATGGTGTACTTCTGATGTCATAAGCTCTAACTCCATGGAAAATTACCTCGATTGCAGAGGATACATTTCAACTATTTCAAATATATTATGTTTGCCAATATTTAAAACTACGGGAGGCTTCTATTCTGACCCTAATCATAACTCCATGCAAAATTTCGGATTGGGTCATAACTGCGACCTGTAACGACGAAGAGACGACGAGACAACGACTGGATGGACAATCATAACTAGATCGACGCAAATCGGCGAGATAGGAAGATCGATACACCACATGGTTGGCCTAACACCAACATTTTAATGTGTTATATACTTTTTAGCCCAAACTTAGAATACAATGGTGTTGTAGAGTGTAATTAGAATTTTATTTTTTTATTTCGAAATTTTAGCATATCAGTTTTATACAATACACACAATTTTGATATTGTGCCAAAATTAAAAAAAATTGAAAACTTTATGTTTTTTAAAAATTGTCTGTATTTTTCTAATGATGACTTGCGAAAGAAAATTGGCTTTGAATTTAATAACAAAGTTTGGGACACTTTTAGTAAAGGTCAAAATTAGTCAACCGTTTCCACAAGACATTGTTTTAAATATTGAATGTGTTTCTGCACGAAAAATGTAAGAAAGTGTTTTATCCTGATTCAAATTGTGTTTCATGATTTAAACTTTATCTCCAGTAAAATGGTTCACGGGCATGTCTATCTACTGACCTATTTTCGTTCATGGTGTTGTTTTTTTATAGGAGCTATCGATATGAGACCTTTCCTTTCTTTTTTTTTTTTTTTGTATTTCCGCCATAAAAATCTCGCCCGACTTGATGTTTTCCTAATGCGCTTTTCTAAGACAAACATTTTGAACCAACAAAACTTCATCAAAATAACGAAACCTATATAAATCACAAAACTGTCAAGGTGAATAGTTTTGGAATCAAAGTCAATCTAGCCAGTACAGACTCAAGTCTCAAGTTAAAATTGGAGTGCAGAAAATTTTGATGTTCTGTTTAACTACACAAAATGGTGTCAAATGTCAACAAAAAAACTTTTATTCGGTAGAGGTGCCTAGAGGATTCAGATTTACAAAAGTTTTATTTGTTTGAATTGCTGCTACCTTTTTTGGGTGTAGAGTTTTATTAACCGCCAAAGTTTATCGAGTTCATTTACAATGACGAGAAACACATCCATCAAACCATGTGATGGAAAATGTGTGGCAGTATATTTTAGAAGATAACTTTACCATCAGGGCTAGTGAAAGTTAATAGTTTACCGTTAGAGAAAACAATGCCAATGTTTTTCGCCCTTTTTTTGAATGTTATGCAAACCAAATTGAAACAATGTGTGGTCTTAATTTCAGATCATATTATACACGCCGAAAATTTCGTCCTATTTATGCCAAAGTTATGAACAGCTATGCCAATGCACACCGAAAATCATCGACATACCAACGATATGCTGGCGCCAATTCATTAAGTCTCGTCACGGGTCTATTGCCCTTCACATCGGAAATGGCTCTCTTCGAATTTCCGTTTAATGAGCTGCTGGTAGGTCCATGACAAATTCAGCGCCATAAAGACGTCCTTAGTCACGTTTAATCATGTTTTCACTTTTTTTAATTGTTCACCTCTAGATATGGGCTGTGCTAACAAAACGCCAACAAATGGCACTGCTAATGTGGACACATGGCGAGGAGGCGTTGGCCAAGTCATTGGTGGCCTGTAAATTGTATAAAGCAATGGCACATGAAGCTGCCGAAGATGATTTGGATACGGAAATCTATGAGGAATTGCGTTCGTATGCCAAAGAATTTGAAAGTAAAGGTGAGTATTGGTAAATATGGATGCAATTGAATTATGAAAGTAATTTCACGTAATCATTTCAAGAAATAATATCGGACCTAGGGGTCGCATTTAGATAATATATTCCACGTGTCTCATTCTCCGCTAAAATATTTCTGCTATTATTCGGCATATAAAGTTATTTTCAATTTCAAGATGTGTTAATCACCATAGATATATTTCGATATAATTTATTTTGATTATCTCAATATTGTTCTTTTTCTCTGTATTCTAGGTATTAAGCTGCTCGATTTTAGTTATCGAACAGATGCCGAAAAGGCTCAACGTTTATTGACGTGTGAATTGCATTCTTGGTCCAACCAAAGTTGTCTATCACTTGCGGTAGCAGCTAATCACAGAGCACTCCTGGCCCATCCCTGCAGTCAAGTTATATTGGCTGATTTGTGGATGGGTGGATTGCGGACACGAAAAAACACTAATTTTAAGGTACCCAACCATAACATATTCATTAATTTAAAGGCAAGGTTATGACAGAGTGTCCTTTTATTGATTTGCAGGTTATATTAGGTTTAGTTCTGCCATTTTATATCAAACACTTGGATTTCAAATCAAAAGAAGAACTACAACAAATGCCTCAAACCGAAGAGGAACATTTGGAAAATCAAAATCTAGACAATGATGATTCGGATCGTTCCCATCCGGATGCTGAGGTAAGTTGACCTTTTGTCCAATGAGAAGTGAGAAGGAGAAGATTTCATTTTAATTCTTAATTTCGTACTTGCAAATGACATTGGAGGGATTTTGCGTTGATTTTTTTTTATATATTGGTTGAGTGTTTTGTTTTTCAAATTTTATTTTGATAGATATTTGAATTTTTGGTTAGTATTTTTACATGTACATATGTAATTAACAACGGGAGTTATCGTAATTTTGTTTGTGTACATTTTGTTGATATTGCAGATACTGTAATACTTCTTTGATTTCCAGACAATCCCTTTGTTCCACTATTTCTATTATAACCTACCACTACTACTACTACTATTACTACTACCACTACTACTTCTATTATTATTGTCCTAATACTTATTTTCTAGAATCCTCTCACAAAAGCGAAAAGGTCAATTTCTTTGAAATATAGGATGGGCAGTAATAACAATAATGCTGAAAAGGTAGTAAATCAATACTTTGTAATATTCGTGATATTCGATATTCGTGCATAACCATATAAATAAATATGTGTTCGAGTATCCCCACTCCCATTCCCACCACATGCATACATCGTACATACACACAATGTATATGTGACATCGGTCGACAAACATACACCCCTTCTTTCCCATGTATATGTTTCCGTTTACTAACCACTTTTTAACAATTCAATGGTTTTTTGTTGTGATTCTATTTTTTTATTCGTTTAATGTTGTTTGACTTGATTTTGTTCCACGTTTTCCAGGTGACAATACAGCAATGTTGAAATCAATGTTTTCATCATTAAATTTATTTGTTTGAATATCCAGTTTAAGTTTTCTTCAATATTCTCCAGTAAAACAGCTGTCAATGCTGTCTCAAATTATAACATGATTTGTTATAAGAAGATCTCATCTCCTATTAGGTTGAACGACTCCAAATCCGAAGTCAAATCCTTAACCTATATCCTATTCTTCCTATAAGAAAAATCCTTGATTTTATATCTTTCATTTTTTTTTATTCAACGAATATGAGCAACATATAGTTTTATTATGAACACAATGTCGATAATTTCTAAGAAAAAGTTCCCAAAAAAAATTACCAAATTGAGAAAAAGTGGCATTGCATTTTAATGCAGAGACTTGGAACAGGTTCCTTTCTACAAGAATTTCCATTTCCCAATGCCGTCTACTCTTAAGTGTTATTATTCTATAAATAAACACGATTTTATTAAAGGCCTACTTTATATTAATTAAAAGTTCCAAAACCGTTCTGTGGCAAAAAAACTACAGTTATCTACAGTTAAGGCTGCAACTACGAACTATGCCCGAAAAAGATTTTTTTTTTAAATGTAATAGGGTAAGTGTACCAGTAGGCGGCACTTTTAGGATTTTCGCGTTTTTAATCGCTCACCACTCTGAGTGGATCTTTTCAATTATTACAATGTTAATTTATTCAGATTCGAAATTTTGTATAGTTTTTGCAAAAATAAATAAAGTTTTAATAACTTTTTATTAAATTTCATAAATTTGTAGTTTTATTAAAACAATGCTTTTTTGCCAGTAGTCGGCACCACTTGCTAATTGTCGGTATGGCATGTTCCAACAGTCGGCATACCAATTTTTTTGTAAGAATAATTAATAATTAATAATAATAATAATAATAATAATAATAATAATAATAATAATAATAATAATAATAATAATAATAATAATAATAATAATAATAATAATAATAATAATAATAATAATAATAATAATAATAATAATAATAATAATAATAATAATAATAATAAATTAATTCAATAAAATATAAAATTTTTGTTTAGTTAAACTGATTCGACGTCTTTATTGTAATTTTCTTAAGAATATGGATTGCTGAGGCCTTCACAGACAAAAATTTAATTTTTATTAGAATAAATCATATTTTCTTTGCGAAATTGTACACAAAGATAGCTGACAATATATTTGAAGTAAACAAAATACATTTAGTTATAATAGTTTCATTTTTTGGGCTTAAAAATAAAAAGTGCCGACTACTGGGACATGCTGAACTTAGGCACACTTACCCTACATGCAATCACTTAATATTGAATTAAGTTAGCTATTCGGTGTATTGTAAAACAGGAGACCATCAACTCCATAGAGTAAGCCCAGCTAGTTCAGACTTGAAAGGGCAACTGGCTGATCAGTATCCACAAACCGTTAAGGGTGTCATAACCCTTAACGATGGCATTATCTATGAACTGGAATCTGGCCCAAAAGACCACAGAAGTAAATTTTATAAAAACGTTCATTCTGTCTTATTGGGCTCTATCTAAGAAATCTATAGGAGAAGTCTGTCCTTCGGACGGGACGGAGGCCCAGCAAGTGGATAATATTTTCACACGAAAATAATTATAAAAAATTGGACCGAGGAGGGAACTCTGAGTTTAGAGAGTCGCTCGCCTACATTTGTTCTGAAGGAGCAATGCGTGAGAAAACTAGTGATAATTCTAGAGGCTTCACTTTACATACAATTAAAAAAGGAAGGCTTAGGTCCTCATCTCCTGTCGAAGCCTTTTTCAACAAAGCTACTAAAATGCGATAAAATCGTGGAGTGAGCAGAACTAACAATACCGTAAAATCCTGCTTTCTTCTTATAAACCTAGCCAAAATAAAGGAATCGAATAACTTTGCGAACGGCGATAGGAGGGAAATAGGCCCTGATCATAGTCTCTCATTAGTAAAGAATCAATCATGGCCTACTTTCAAGGCGTTGTACCATGGTACGAGTGAAGTGAATTGTTAAAAAGACAAAACTAGACTTCCTTCCCTTATCGGAGTTATGTCGAGGATGTTCTTAATATCGCCTGGGATCGCCAAACCCACTATCCTACCCAAGTAAGATGTTGTTCACAGAGAAGCTATTAGCAGCAAATGAACTGCTATACGACACGATAGAAGTATGTTCTACAATCCACTCCAAAACCATGTTGACTTAACTCTGAAAGGAATCATCGAGTTAACGGCAAAAATTGAAAAAAATAAATTAACGAAATTTTTCGGCAATTTAGCGACCAAAACAAAGTAGTCGCTAAGACCTACCGATAGACTAATTGTTGTTAAATTTTAATGGACTTTTTGTATGCAAATTTTGGGTTTGAAAGTTACAGATTTTTGTTGACAATGGCAAAAACGATTAGAGAATACCACTACTGGTCCGCCAGTATCTCAGATATGATCATCGCAATTGTCCGTATACGAGGAGACTGAATGGACTCGCGAAGACCTGTGATTCGCTGGGTCTTAATACTTAATACCATAGTTTCCTTGAGTAAATCTTTATCGCGATCATTTTCGAACTTGAGAGGTTTCAATAACCTTATGGATGTTGCGGATAGAGGTCGTGACATCTAGTCGTCGTTCAGGATCACTCGACTTCCGCGCTACTTTATCACGATGCCTATCGTTACAAGGGCACCACTGCCGGGTTCAAAACCTCTGAACCAGCGCAAAAAGGGAATATGATGTAATAAAATCATTTTTATCTGGATTTGACGACTAACGAAAATCAACGGTAGATTTGGATATGCAATTAAATGTTGCTAGTTCTCATTGCTTTATTCTAAACATGTTAAAGAGTTGTGATCAGTTTTATGTTTCCACAATCGTTAAATGACTGACATAATAAAAACGAAGGTGGCATGCAGAGGCTATTCGTCTAGATTCTAGTTTATGGTGCTGGATGCAACCTTAAGAAAAATTAAAGCGATGATGATTGGACATTCAACTATTTTAAAATATATATTACAAAAGGCTATTACAGATCCATAAGCATAATAAATAAACAAATAACCAGTTATGGATCTTATCTCCTTTTCAACAGGACAAAATCGTTGACTTGCTCTATTTTGATACGAATTTGTCAGCTAGGCAATCACATTTTGTTGCTAATTTGTAGCCTATTGTCTATCACATTTGTATTATGAATAGAATAACAACTGAATGTGCGTGTGTGTGTGTGTGAGTGAATATGTGATTTTAACCCAAATCAAATTATATAATTTTGTCTATTTGTGTACGTAAAACTTTACTAATTAGCTAACACATCCCGTTTGTAGTCCTGATTATGTGTCCGTGCCTATTATTATCAGATAAGTTAATTTAAACAGTATCCAAATTGAATTTTAGGGTTTCCTTTCCATATATAAATTTGTTTTTGATGGAGCATAGCGTTGCTAATATTAGTGCTAATATGGATATTTGGCTTTACAATTAAGCTGATAGTAAAATTCCATATCCGGCTGAGGTACATCAGATAGGGAAAATAAACAGATGAGTCAATGTTAACATTTATACCCATGTCACAGGTTCTGTGATGTGTCAATGTAAATATTTTTCGTTTTTAATGACATAAATAAATCCTTGCATAGAATCTATTTTTAAAGGACACGCCAAAATGTTATTTTTAAATAAAAAAAATTGATTTGATCTTTAAGAGAGGACTTGGTTTGACTTATTAAAAGAGAATATGTGCAATAAATTCAGGAAAAGATCATCATCTTATAGATATACACTGTCACGATTGACGCTCTCATTTAATACTTTTTTCCTACACATTGAAAATCGTAATTTTGAAATGAAAATATATCCATGTATATGCTGCTGAAATGATTTGTATATTTGTTCCCCTCTCCTCCCCTTTTCATTCCATTCTAACTAAAGTACAAATTGCTACAACTTGATTTGGCATCACCATCCCCAAATTATAGTTTAGCAAATTCCAACAATGTAAGTTCAGTTTAAATTAAATTTGACATAATTAAATGAATTAATTATTTTTTTTTTGTGTGTGTATTAGACGGCTTTCATTGTCAACATATCCATTGCTCAGTTTATTCATTTGATTGTGGAATATGGTCATATGTTTTTAGAAATAATTTTATGATATAAAATTGCATTTTAATAAAATCTTATTTTGTGTTTAATAATAATATTGAAATCTTATTGGAAGTTATACAAAGTTACGCAAATACAAATCAATATTTCTTCTATTTTCCTTCCATATGGGAATGGAAACGAATTTAATGTAACTATACTGAAATATTTATATATTTTTAAGTTTAGAGGATAAATAAGAATTTAACAATAATATGCAAAAGTTGAAGATTTCAGGAGAGGAACTCACAATTTTCGTTTTCATTTTTTATCAGATTTTGCAAAACTTTTTATTTCCTGTTTCCTATTCTTTGTGGGTTTTTGTAACAGAGGGTACATTAAGCTGGTCGGTAGTTATTTTTCAAAAGAATCCATTAATACTCTATAAAGTATTCACGACTTGAAGCAGAAAGGAATCAGAATTTGGTATATTTTACTAATTTCTGATGAGAAAGAGACAAAGGGTGTAAAAAGGGCGATTCTTCCATTATGTGACGAAGCTCATTTTTCGCTCAATGGGTGCGTAAAAAAAATTGTCGATTTTGGAGTGATGATCAGCTAGAAGCAATGCAAAAGCTACCAATGCATCCAGGTAAAATTCAAAGTTTGGCGGGAGTTATGATGTGGTACTTCTTTAGCGATGCAACGAAATTGTGAATGTTGACACCTTTTTTGTCCAAAACACAAGAGTTTGACTTGCATGACATGTGGTTTCAAAAATACAGTGTCACGTAGCCACAAAGCATGCGAGTTCGTTGAGCATTTATAGATCGCGTGATTTATAAGGCTCATGTCTACGCAGACAAGATCGCTTCAATTGACGCTCTGGAAGACAGCATTGAAGCATTTATTCGTCGATATTTTGAAAAGCCAAAATTTTATTTAACTGATGGACCATTTGTGGCGCAGTCGGAGGCAACATTTGCATAAAATAATCTTTCCATCATTAAATTATATGGACAGTACTATAAAGAAAAATAAAAAGTTTCTTCATTTTTCTGAATTAATGTGATGTTAGTATTCTCAGCCGTATGCCTACAGGGAGTATATATCATTTGCTGCGTCCAAAACGTGTTTCATCGAAATAACTGTTTGAGACCCCAGGTCTCTTTGGACTGAAACCTTTTCAGGACATTTTCGATCTAGCGATGTCCGTCCGCCTATCTGTCTGGCTGATGATCACGTAACTCTGTTTTATTATTATCAAATTCAGATCGAGTTCGGAGATGGGCAATATCGGCCAACTATTTCTGGTACCTCCCAACCAAAAAGTTCAAATTTTTGAAAGAAAATAATTTATCTCATAAAAATGAAAAAAATCACCAGATTTTGTTCAAATATCGGCCCATTCCTTCTAGTACCTCTCTCACGGAGGGTCATAAATTTGAATAATCATAGCCTTATAAAATGTGAAATAATAATAGCACGGTTATTTTAAAAGGTACATTTCAATAATTCTACCAACTCTAGATGTGTATATCGGACCAGTTCTTTTGGTACCTCCCCACAAAGGATAAACATTTTGAATACCTATAGCTCTCACAAATTACCTACACCTGGTAACAATTTTGAATTCCCATAACCCACATTAATTGGCACATCGCAATATTTTTATCAGCACAAGATGTGAATATGTGATTCCTTCTGATATCTGATAGCACAAGGGGACAACATTTTGAATAATTATGAGCATCACAACAAGCGAAAAAATCAGCTATTTGCTTCAAACTTCGTGTAACTCAAAATCAATAGATGTAATATAAATATGGGTACGTGGTACGTACCATCGTACCTGGCTCATAATTAGTCATCATTGTGAATAATCACAACACATATCAAAATATATTATAATAAATTTCAGTTTCAGGGCGATGATATACCATATGTTGGCAAAACCGACTGATACCTTTTAATTTGTTTTTTATTTATTTATTTTTTTTTTAACGACTTTCCTATAGCTTTTAATAAATCAACCTTAATTTCTTTGTAAATTGTATCATGGTTTTCTCGCTGGCTGAGGAAAACTCAATCGCAGCCAAGATCTTCATAAGGATCCACTAAAGCGAATTGACATCAGAGATAAATGGATGTTGTAATTAATGATTCCATATTCAGTTTGTTGACGTTAATCGGAAACTATGATGTAGGGACATCGGTTTGCTGACGATGTGCTGGTAGTCGGATATCATGATATTAAAAAATTAGGATGTAGACGAAGTATGTAATCGGGAATAATGTTCGGATTGCAGACGATTAGAAGGAAATCGAGACCTTATGGATGTTTGTCGAGTTGCAACAGGTTGTGGTTAATCGGGAGTTACGATATTGACGATATGAAGATGATCAGGAATTCCGACGAATGAACGTCGAGTGTTCAGTTCCCGTTCGATGGATAGTTAACCGGAAAATTGTTGAAGTGGCTTTCAGCTCGCAGGTGTTAGGGCCGTGTATAAGGATTGGCGATCGAATGGTATACGAACTTTAGTCGATCGCATTATGGTCTACCGTCTACAATTATCTTAACGTCTCTACTATAGATTTTTGTTGAAAAATGTGTTGAATATCCTATTGGAAATGAGAACCGTAATTAGAATAATGAAAGCTGGATCGAATTTTCTTTCCCAGCTAACAATTCAGTTACAGGGGGAACAGCAAATATTCAAATACTCAAATTACCCTTACATCAAGCCCGCAATGAGTTACTATTCTTTTTGTGTAGCGTGGTTGGGAAATTGTCTAGTTTCTTTTAAAACATTTTTTTTTTTTGAAAATTGAATCATTGGTTCAGTAAAAGGATTAGTAGTCGAAATGGTTTCCATCACACACATGTATTATTGTTAGGAATCGAAAAACTATCTTGTTAATATAATTCGGAACGATTAATTCGAACATAATTTTTAGTGTTTTCATTTCCATGGGTATCAAAACTCGGCATGAAGGAACTACGATTAATGTGTACCGCCTCTTTAAAAAAAATGTAAAAACTTTATGTTAATATTACTTTATATGATTTCACGTTAAGTTGATATATGCAAATGCATATATGTTTTTGTTTTTGGTCCAATTTAGGAAACATTAATGAATATTAATATATTATTATGACATTTTTATCAGGAGCCAAAACCAATACACCTAGAATCCAAATTTAACGTCGAACGAAACAGCTATAGATAATGCATAAAATTTCCCGGTCTAATGATATTGAAATAGTACCTAGGTCATTTCACAAATACGTAACTGGTCTTTTTATGAATTGTCTTTTATTTAACATTCCAAATTACTTGATATTTGCCAAGGCGCATCTGTAAACCAATTTCGATCTGTTTGTGAATATATAAAGTGTGTTCCAAATTTTTTGTAAAAACAAAATTAAGTAAATATTGCTTAGCTAATCAACTGGTGCCATAACTGAAAAAAAGACTCTTTTTTTGAATTTCATCATTACTGAAATAAATGATGACAGAATCATAGAGTTTTGTAAACTATGGCACTCTTTGAGTATTTAAGTGAAGTGTACATTGTATTTTACCCCCGTTTTTTTTATTTTTACATTTATTTAATTTCAAAAAAATGTATTTTTTGTTCCAGTCTTAGTTTATGTCGTTGAACTCTATAGTTGTGTCAGTCGAATGTTGTTTCACATTTCCTTAAAATCAAAATTATTTTTCTTTCACTCGAAGACGCTCAAAAATTGTAACTGACAAAAAATCTGAAAATGGTCTGCAAAAATCCCCTTTGTCTGTCTATAACAAATATTTCGTGTGCAAGTAGATTTATTGGATTGATTTGTTGCATTAGTTAATAGAAATGTGAATGAAGATTGATTGATTAACTCATTAATTGTTTGCCTAATAAATGAACTCTTAAAAAAATCTTGATTGATACCGTGAAACTCCGCATTGAAACCTTTGCAGGCACTTTTGGCGGACACATATTCATTGCGTGACACCAAAGTTCATGAAAACGGAAAAGTGAGTAAAATGCATTTTTATTTCACTACATCTTTCATTTTATCACAGTTTTTGGAATATGAACAAAACAAAACGAAAAAACAACAACTCCAGTCACATACATACATACATTATTTACATATATAGAAAGATAACTAAAGACCAACATTTTTTCCTGGCATTGGCAATTCTATTTTCATTTGATTTCAATCTCTTTTCTTTAATAATTGTTTTGACCTCTGGCCGAATCTTTTCTTTTTATCTCTTGAACACCAAAATAAGCACTTCTTTTGAACACACTGAAAATACTCTTCTTTCAATCTTTCCACTATCGTATTAGTAATTAAACTTGGCTTCTTATTTAATACCGTAAAATGTATTCTGCAAAATGTACCCAGTACTACACCAATCGTAGAAACCCGTAGTTAGGAAGGTTTTCACAATTGAGTATATTTACATAAGTTTTGAAGTAGTCGTCCTTGGTAAAAGAATTTGGAAGTGTATACAGCCAACAATATTTGATTGAAAAAGGATGAAATATTGAAATCAATTCAAAATAGCAACGAGTGCTGTGAGCTGAAATAAGCATATTTCGTTATGGAAAATATTACTAAGGAGCATTAAATTATTTAGTTGGGTAGTTCATGGACACAAAATTAAACATCAGTTTGAAATCTTGCTAAATTTACATCAACAAAGACTAGTTACCGAATTACAGGGTAAGATTAAAAAACTAAAAAAAAAAATATAAAAAAAGTCAAACACCATAATTTTTACATATCTTTTTTAAATTTTATTGAATTTTGTTGATTTGTTCGAATTGGTCACCTTTGGCACGAATTATGGCCTTCAAACGGCCAATGAAACAGTCACAAGCTACCCGAATGTTGCTCTGCGGTATTTTGGTTCATTCCCGGCGAAGCACTTGCTTGAGGTGATCGACACTTTGGTATTTTTTAGTGCCAACCTTGCTTTCCAAAATACTCCAGACACAATAGTCCAACGGATTGGTATCCCGAGTTTTTTGGGAATGAAGCCAAGAACCTCATTTTGTAACCATTCTTGGGTGGAACGTGCTGAGTGCGATGGTGCTGTGTTCTGTTGGAATGTTTGCGTGCCCAAGGTTTTAATACACCCTCCAGAACATTTTCGCGATAATATTCAGCATTTATTCTGATGCCACTGTCAATTAAAACGAGCGGAGACCGACCATCGGCTGTTATGGCGGCACACACCATCACCATAGCCGGCGCTTGAGTTCTGGTTCTGGCCGGCGCTAGAGTTCATCTGACCTCTTTGGCAAGTAAACACGATCATTTTGTTTGTTTACAAACTGCTGGACAACGAATGTTTTCTCATCGGAGAAAACCAAACTCGGCAGTTCACCACTTTCGACCAAGCGAAGCATATCTTTAGCTCTTTTGAGTATATTTTCTTTCTGTTGCGGTGTAAGTTCTTGCACTTTTTGGAATTTCAATGGCCATTTTTCGGCCACAGCGACGCGGGTTTCGATCAATTCGCTTCTTTACTTTTCGATCCATTTCTGCTGATGTTGCTGTTTTCTTCCGTCCACTTCCTTGACGTCGGGCTACGCTACCAGTATCACAGTAAGGAGCGATGGTACGAGACACAAACGATTTATTCACATTTAAATGCTGGAGTGCTCTAACGATAGTCACTTGTAAGAAGTCACTATAAAGAAATTACATTATCACGTTTGAATTCCATCACGGTATCTAGATATTTTCTATTTTATAATTGGGCCCGAATGTTTAAGAATTACTGATATAATGTCAACTGGCCCTTAAGATTCAATGTGACCCAGTGTCCTTAATCTACAATTGGTTTCTTGCTTCTCGACGTTTGCCATTGAAATTCGTGAAACGAAAATCCTATTTTCGACTAATTGTCCTTAAGGATATAAAATCTATATATTTTTCCAACGTTGAAGTTGTAAGAGTGATGGAGAAATTTCAGTTTTTTTTTTTCAGCGTAGAACAAATTCTTTAAAAAAATAATACAGGGTTGCCCATATTCGACGGACCCATCTGGCAACGCCATAACTTTTGACAGAGATGTCACATCGCTTAATGACATACCGCGTTTGAAGCGTCAGTCCAAGCAGATTCTTACCATGAACCAATACACGCCACGCGAGCGCTCTGAAATAGTCAATTGAAGTCAATTGTGAAAACTCAACGTGGTTTTAAAACATTAAAAAATGTGAGAAGTGCGCCTTCTAAGAACACCATTAAGCATTTATACGAAAAATTTTCGACTGGTAAGGCTCTTTCTAATCCGAAGAGGCCATATAAAAGTCGACCAAGGTGATCGCCCGAGAATATCGCTGCCGTTCGCGCCAGTGTTGAGAGGTCCCCAAGAACATCCCAAAAACGCCGTTCTCAGCAGTTGGGCATGGCTCGGTCCACTTTACAACGGATTATTCGCATTGATTTGCATTTATCCCCGTACAAAATTGAGTTGACGCAAAGAATGTTACCTGCGGACAAGCCTCGTCGATTGGAATAAGCCCAAAGGGCCCAAAGGTCCGTCGAATATGGGCAACCCTGTATAATTTCTCAAAAACCATTTGTGGACAAAAAAGTAAGACTCCTTGGGCGAAAACAATAATCGACATATCTAAATTCAATAAAAATATATACAAAAATATTGTTAGCTGCATAACCTAAAAATGTAAAGCAATGAAATTCTAGCCATAGAAATGTAGTCATTTTTTTAGCTACTAACACATTCACAGCTACCTAATACATACAGAAAAATAATAACTACTACAGCAACAAACCTATATTTTGCCACATAAATCAAAAGTATTCAAATAATGAATGAATTAATATCTATTTAACTTTTTTTATAAATACAATTATTTCTATTAATATCTTCGAATTTTCTGTACGCCTACTTAGATTTGAATTCATATCACCCAACTGATTAATTTCAGGTTAATCTCACTGCCGGAGCGGAAGAACCCCCCTCCAAAGTTAGTTTATGTAACTCTTTTCTATTTCTCTCTTTAGATTTTGTCAACGCTTTTAGATTTAGAAACTGATCTCTTGTTTGCACAAAACTTTCGGCACGGCTTAAAACAATTTAAACACTTCTTCATTAGTTTAATTCATTTCATTAGCGCTAGATTCGTATCTATCTGTAAATTATTTTGACATCTGTTTTGTTAATTGAAAATATTCGTAAGCGAAATAATATTCGTAAATCTTTAATATTTTATTGAAATTTCTTACAGCTTGATAAAATAAAATTTATATAAAAATGAAAAAAAAAAAAACTTTAGAAATTACGCCACGTGTAGAACTGCTTATGCCGTACTTTAATTGTTGTTGCTGTCATAACCTCATAAATATGCTATCAATTCTAGTTTTCATCTTACCATACATAAATTATTTTTTTCGAGACCGCCATTTAAAATATCGAAGGAAATGCCTATTTTTAGCAATAAGAGAAAAATGTAGATATACGATTCACAGAAAAGTTTTATTCTGCTTGGGTATAATTATATTTCCAAGAGCAAAACGATGCTATAACTTAGAGATATAATTATGAAGAACTAATGATGCATTACGAGGTGGTAAAAAACATCGTGACGAAATCAGAAATTTCGAAACGGAATTTATACTCATATTTCACAAAAATAATGCTTGAGGAGAACAAAGTAATATTTGTGCATTCATCGTTAAACTCGCTCGTGAGAGAACTACCTCGTCGGGAAGACTGGTAAACGTTTTAAAAATACATCGTTGTCCATAAAAACTAAGACGTTCGAAATGATGCCACAATTTTTTCCCGACAAAATTTGTCACTTAATTATATTATATGTTTTATATGTAAATATACTTTAAATTCTCTCAAATCTCCCTAAAAAATAACTTTTTTGGAGATATATCCAATTCTGAGCTCTATTTAATATATTTCTCCGAATATATATTACGGCTGTGGAGAACAAGTATTACAAATCGGATGAACAATATATATTGGAGCTATAGCTATATCTGAACACACCTTCACCAATTTTTACATACTTTTTTCTAGGCTCAATTTAGTCGTTTGGGGCACAATAAAAGGCAAATCGGACGAAGATATATATGGGAGTTATATCTAAATTTTGATCGATTATCTCTAATTCCAATAGGGCTTGTCCTTGTGTGAAACGAATTACATGTGGGTAGGGTATTAAATTCGACTTTTACTTTGTTTACAAAAATACATAAACAGATGAATGTGATTCTATGCAGATCATCAAAAGGAACTATGGGTCTATCTCATTATTTTTGCCTGTAACAAAATATGCACAAAGACATAATACTCGATATGGTTTTTTTTTCAGTTTTTTCGTTTTGATTTTTTACTGTAAAAAACGGGAATACGGTTTAAAGGTTATATATTATTTTGAGAGATAAGTGCAAAACATTTTGAATATTTGCCCATGACGTGGGTTCCAAGAAGTAGAGAGCGACAAGAGAGTGATATTAGGCCACCAACAATATTGATCTTCTGTTATTTCCTAATATCTCTGTGTAACCCAACAAATAATTACGGGTGAAATCGGAGTTAGTGAAAGAAGAACTAAAAATAGATGACACATGTTCGGTCGTTTTGAAAGTTTTCTTAGCAAAGTAATTTCATTTTTTCACATTTCTTGAAATATTATTGTTATCAATACCAGGATTATTTCGGTCAGAAATCTTAACTCTCAAACTAGTATTTTTGGTATTTTTTTTTTTTTTCAAAACATAGCTAAAAACTACCTATAAACAGGATCGAAGAAAGTCTAAATATTCTACTAAATTATTAATCATATAGTTCTACTATACATCAAAAATCTAAATCTTAACTAAACTCTAAGAATTCATAAATATTAAAATACATTTCAGAGTTAAAGCCCTACTGCGAGTGAGTTTTTGCAAAATTCTCCAACAAACAATCGTTTCAGAAGGATAACGCCAATAACCAAAATATTCTTGATTAGATTGTACCTAACTCTCTCCTCATGTTGATAGACTACAAAATCAGGAAAATTTTATTTTGGGTTAATTTGAGCCCCTAAATTTTGGTACAATGTTAGATTGCAGCCTTCCGGACGGATGTCCTTGTCTTGGTTATTCTTGCTTTCATCCCTCTCGTCAGTCATGCATTTAAGTGATTTCAGATCTGACCTCTCTCTCACACACATGTACATAGAACTTTTAAATTATGTATAACCTTTTAGACTTCTTGAATATATCGAGGAAAATTTTACTGATTAATGATTCAGCCTTTTTATTAAATTCAAACTCCACATACGATAAATTATTAATACCAAATAACTTATGTTTTAGCCATCTACTATAACCATTTAATTTCAATTGAATTCTTCAAGTATTATCTTGGAACTTCAACTTCATTATCAAAATATATAATTTTTTGAATAATTAATTTGCAAGAGTAGATTTTCTACAGTTCATGTTATTTTCAATCGAACTTTAGTTATTTAGCATGCCGTATAATGCAACAATGAAATCTCTCTAATATTTAAAGTTTATATTGAACGAAATATTCATCATACATCTATGAATGTATTTGAATGTCAACTGTGTTCTTTTTTTTTCAATCGAAGCATTCTATGTGGTTATTGGGTCATTTAATTTCCATTGGTCCGCCCGAATAGTTAAATAAAATTTGTAAATAATATTTGCTTCAGTGTATTATATTTGTCAATATACATATCTATTTGCCACTGCTTGAGCTCAGTGATTTTTTTTTTAATTTCTAATTTTTATTAACACTTTAATTTTTTTATTTTTGTTATTTTCTTCGGAAACAATTAAAACAAACAGGTATCTCTGACAGACTCCGATCCATCGCAATTTCGTGATTTTATTCACAACACCGACTACGAAATTAAGCAGCATCAGCCACTGCGATTAAAGAAGAAGGTCTACGAGTTCTACACAGCACCCATAACGAAATTCTGGGCTGACTCGGTAAGTAGTTTATAAAATTTTACATCGATTTTCACTGAGAGTAAGGTCCTAAAACCCTTTTGACTAACAGAAGTCCCCGAATATATTGTGAAGATCAGTTGGAACACTTTGTAAATACAGGGTAGTCCAGAAAGATCGAGGTGGTAAACTTTTATTTAAGACATATTTGTCTATCTTTTTTTAATGCAGTACATTTATATGGAATCGTTTAAGATTAGTTATTAAAAATGATATCCCGCAAGTGGTGGCTATTTTTCCATCATCAAATGTGCTCTTTCCTACATATTTGCCATGACCTTTTGTAAAACTTCCGGTGTTATATTTTTAATTTTGTCTCGAAGGGTTAGATTAAAGAGTCCTGGTGGACATGCACTTAAGCCAGTTTAGGTTTGTTGTGCGCAGTTTACAGTCTATTATATTTGGAATTCAGTTGCCTTAACAACATTTCTTAACTGTTTTTTTTTTTTTTTTAATTAACCATGATCTGATTAAGTTCTGGTATGGAGTTGTCCCCTAAATATTGCGATCGAATATCTGCCAATTTCGTCTCGAATATTGGTTTTTAATTCCTCAATAATCTTAGGCATATTAAGATAAACATTCCCTATAAATAACCCCAAAGTAAAAAGTCTGGAGCGTTTAAACCCGGGAACGCGAAAGCCAATTAAAATTGCTTCTACGCGAAATTATTTCTTCACCAAAGATGTTGCGTATAAGTGTCATTGTGGTCTGGCAGCGTGCGGTATTTTAAAAGTTTACCACGACAGGCCTTATAAAAATTTCCAACATGACCCGACATCGATCACCTCGTTCATTTTCAATAAATAAGAGCCTTTCTGAAAAGACACCGCTCCAAACGGTACACTTAACTGGGTGTAATTGTCGTTGATGAAGTACTCTCAGGCTTTCCGTAGCTCATGTCGTACAGTTTTGCTTATTAACGAATTCATTTAATTGGAAATTGGTTTTATCGCTCTTAACTAAGTTTCGAATAAAATTAGGATTCTCTTTTGCTTTTTGCTGAAAATAAATTGCATAGTCAAGTTTTTCTTCTGGTTATGTGTCGGAGTCTATTTCTGCTGAATTTATATGGAAACATTCTTATGGTATGCAACATTCGTTGCAGCGAAGCTCTTGAGAGCTGTGTTGAACGTCTCCTGATTGATGTTTCTGGATACTCACCTGTACTATTTGAATATTGTCAAACATGTGGACAGTTCGAAGTCTGCCGAAACCTGAAAGATTCCTTATTGCCCCTTCTTGTCGAACATTTGCAACTAGACAATTTATTGGCGACTGAAAAGGTGCACATTAAATTGACGACGGTATACACGCTGAGTCCGGACAATGTACCGTTGATTTGAAGAGCAAATTTCAACGTTTTGGGCACGTTGTTCACTTGTGTGTTGGTCCATTATAAATTGTCCAAGTATTTTCTGCGAAATACTGAAAAAAAAATAACAAATTATATTAAACAAGTTTTTTTCTGTGCCGCTCTGTATCAAAGTTCGTATGTATCGGTTATTTTGTTTGTTAGAATTAATAATAGATGATTTAATTTTACAACTCAGACGTCAAGCATCATTCACAGCAAAATCCTTGCAGTCAAATATCCCATTGCAAGGTAATTTAAACAAACTTAATGCCATGTTTACGTTAGAACTTTTTGTAGGGTTAACCTACTTTGAGAGGATTTATTTGAAGTTAAAGTAATGGATATGACAATTAAAATCCAAATCAAGTGGGTTAACCCTCATATATATAAACGTACTGTAATTTTCCATCAACAGTAGACAAAAGTGTTTTTTTTTTTTTTTTTCGATTTTCACATAGTGGAGAAACGAATTCTACTTATAACACGTAAAAAAACATTAAGTTCGTCCGGGCCGAACTTTTAATACCATCCACCTTAGGGTAATGGAAACATAAGAACCAATTATGACCCACAAAAACCAATTTTTAGACATATTCGTGGGAAAATTTGGCAAAAATCATCAAAATACCGAATATTGGAAGGTACCGTTATATGGGGGTTATACAAAAGCGTGGACCTATACATACAATGTTTCGCCACACGAACTAGCACCCATTATGACCTACAAATACCAATTCTCACACATATTCGTGAAAAATGTGGCTAAAATCATCAAAATACCAAATATCGGGAGGTACTGTTATATTGGGGCTATACCAAAACATGAACCTATACATGCATTGCTTCGCCACCGTAGCTAGAACCCACTATGACCAACAAATACCAATTTTTAGACAAGCCCATGAAAAAATGCGACAAAAATCATCAAAATACCGAATATCGGGAGGTACCGTTATATGGGGACTATACCAAAACGTGAACCTACATATGTCATTTTCAATACCAACAATCCTAGACACAATACAAATTATTCTGCTAAATTTTGACGCTCTTCGTTAAATAATGTGGCCTGTATCGTGATTTCAACAGACAGACAGACAAACAGACGGACATCGTTAAATCGTCTTAGAATTTTATGCTGTTTATGAATATATACATTATGGGGCCTACGACGAATATTTAGACATGTTACAAACGGAATGACAAAGTTAATATCCCCTTCTTTCCAAGGTGGAGGGTATAAAAATACTTTTAGTCATTATATTTGGCTAGCTGGTAATGCTTAAAGTATGATGTTGCCAAGTGTCTGATAACTGTTTACTTCTTTCTTAAAAAAAATTTTCGCTGTGGAGTGAAAGTGTTGACATTTTTCACGGGAATTTCGGATAATAATATCCGGTCAAAATTGTAGACGTCTGCCTTGCCCAAAACTCTCTATTTTTTGTAAAATCATCTGGTTCATAGTTGTGACCTGTACAGCGACTGCAAAATCAGTTTTTTGTCCATTTCATATCTTAAATACCTCGATTACTGCCTGGAATTTTTAACGAAGTTTTTAATGGCCGGGACAATAGGCAAACTTAAAGATGAGTCTACGATCAAAAATTTAATGTGCTAGAAGCTATAGGGCTAAAATAGGGCCTCTCAACATAATGATGAAAATGTTTTCTTGTTTGGTCCAGATACTGCCGTTATTAATTCTCATGTAATAAGAATTCCAACATCTTTCATATCTTTTTAACAGATCGCTTACATGTTTTTCCTGGGAATGTTCACATTTACGGTTCTGGTGAAAATGGAACCAATGCCCCGATGGCAAGAAATATATTCCATTGCTTATATTACTACCCTAGGTTTTGAAAAAATCCGTGAAATTGTCTCCTCCGAACCAGTTGCCATTACGTAAGTCTCTTTGCTTTACATTTCTTTGGCGAATCATAATTTATCTCTTTTGAAATTTTCTTGCAGACATAAATTTTCCGTATGGGCTTGGAATATGTGGAATCCGTGTGATGGGGCTGCCATAATACTTTTCTTTATCGGCCTTTCGCTGCGGTTTCGACCGAACACAATGGATATTGGGCGAGTAATCTACTGCGTCGACAGCATCTACTGGTATTTACGAATACTAAACATCTTGGGTGTTAACAAATACTTGGGTACGCAATGGGTTAATCTTTTTTTGTTCACATTTTAATTGATTTTCCATGCTGTAGGTCCTCTCGTTACAATGATGGGCAAGATGGTCAAGAACATGATTTATTTTGTTGTCTTATTGGCTGTGGTTTTGATGAGTTTCGGCGTTAGCAGACAGGCCATACTCTTTCCAAACATGGAACCAACATGGCGTCTATTCCGAGAGGTAAGATTTCAATGAAATTTCTAAGACCCTCTGAACAATCCTTTAGGAGGTGTGTGTGTGTGTGTGTGTGCGTGTGTGTATGTATATATTTTTTGGACATGAATGTGTTACCTGATCATCATTCTGATTTGATAAGGTTTGGTAAATAACACAAATACACACGCCAATAACATACGTACCGGACATATGTATATTCTGCAGTGAGCAAGAATGTAGTGTAAAAAAATAAGAATGAAATTGAACAAATTATTTTATTTTTTATAATTTTATATAACATTTTCATTAATCAGACATAAATGCGTGGACATGTCTTCTTACGAGTCAAATACACAGTTTCACCTCCTATTACAACTTAAGAACCAGATTATAAAAAAAAAATATATATCACGCTCCAATACATATTGGGCCACTATGCATTAGTACCAAATTTAATACCACAGGAATATTTCATGTACAGGGTGAGATAAAAAACTGCAACAAAGTCAAACGCCATAATTTTTATGTCGGAAATAGCATCAAATTTTAAGAAAAGTTTAGATTTTTTCGAATTGGTCACCTTTGGCACGAATTATTGCCTTTAAACGGCCAAAGAAACCGTCACACGGTGATCGAATGTTGCTCTGCGGTATTTTGACCCATTCCGGCGAAGCGCTTGCTTGAGGTGATCGACACTTTGGTATTTTTTAGTGCCAACCATGCTTTCCAAAATACTTCAGGCGCAATATTCTAACGGATTGATATCCACAGATTTTGGTGGCCATGGTGCTGAGTCCTGTTGGAATGTCCAAGGTCTGCGGCCAAAATGTTTGCGTGCCCAAGGCTTTAATACACCCTCCAGAATAATCTTTGGAATTTATTCCGATGCCACCGTCGATTAATACGAGTGGAGAGCGACCATCGGCTGTTATGGCTGCCCATACCATCACCATAGCCGGCTCTTGAGTTCTGGTGGCCAACCGATGCACATTTTCAGCTGACCACTTTGGCAAGTAAACATAATAATTTTGTTTGTTTGCAAACTGCTGGACAACGAATGTTTTCTCATCGGAGAAAGCCAAATTGCCTGATTACCACTTTCGGCCAAGCGAAGCAACTTTTTAGCTCTTTTCAGTCTATTTTCTTTCTGTAGCAATGTAAGTACATGCACTTTTTGGAATTTCAATGGCTTTACCCCGAACTCATTTTTCAATATTTTCCGAATGTAATATTGATATATGTTCCGCCCACGAGCCATTTTTCGGCAACTGCGACGCGGGTTTTGATCGAGTCGCTTCTTTACTTTACGAACCATTTCTGCTGATGTTGCTGGGGTCTAATTCCCGCATACGATATCGAGAAGTAACGATATCGTAATTTTAATTTTGGATGATGGCATTCGATATTGAGTACTTTACATTGAAGTGTCGAATGCAACCATGAGAGTTTTTGCCGCGTCTATTTATTTTGCCCGCGTCTATTTTTGTATCGAATGCAATCATCGAAACAATGAAATGGAGTCTTAATTCATGTCGATACGATTCTGTATTCGATAGCGGATGCCGTAATTAGGCCCCTGTTTTCTTTCTTCCACTTCCTTGATGTCGGGCTACGCTACCAGTATCACAGTAACGAGCGATGGTACAAAACACAAAAGATTTATTCACATTTAAATGCTAGAGTGCTCAACGATAGCCACTTGTGGTTTTCCAGCCAAATATAAAAAAATCATACTACCACGCTTGAATTCCATCACGAATAACTTTTTTTTTTTTCTGGAAAATTCTCACCAAAATGCTTTTGTACACTTGTAAACGATATAATGAGCTGTCACTGGAATAATTTTAAAAGCTGTCGGAGTGGCTTAGAAATGACAGCAGTCTGAAGTTGGTTGCAGTTTTTTCATCTCACCCTGTATTTGCTTTAGCATTTCAGTACAATGTATTCAGATTATTATGAATGAACCACATACAAGCAAATAATATACATAATTTGATCCGAACAAAATATGTTTCATTATGGCTCATTATGAAGCTTCACCAAAAAATTATTTCGACTATTGAAATATAGCCACTGGACATTTTTTATAAATCTCGCATACATATATATATATAAAAATAGAGTAATTAAATGAAAGGTGTATTCATATCGAATTTAGAAAAATCCTGCTCTAAAAAATACCCCCAATACATACTTTCGTAGAAGTTAAACCCTTGAGATTTTGATGCGACAACATATCGGTCTGTTTTTAAGAGGGAAATGATTTAAATCATGGGACAATATTCTATTTATTACGTTCGACATGATAATTCTCAACTACAGTTGTGATAAAATTATATTCAGTTAATAGAGTACATACACATTTATTTTTAGATTTTTTTATTTGGATGCATTGACGTCGTGATTAGAAATGATATTGCATTTGCATTTAAACTAATTAATAACACTTGTTTTAATCTTTTATATCTCTCTTTTTCCTATCTCATGGTATCTAATCGACGTGACTTCATTTCATTCACAACAAATCATTAAAAAATAAAAACAAACAATTTCTTTGTGGTGTATTTAAAAAAATATATATTTTGTGTGTTTCTCTTTTTCGTTGGATGTACATTTAAATGTGATATTTGATGGACTATCGAATAAAATTCACACGCACGCACACATACGGACGCTTGTACATATACGAACGTAGGTAATAGCAGGCTCCATTGTGGCACCAGGATTTTTGGGCGCCATCGGTCATGGTAGTCGCGCACACAACGCCCGAGATCCAACTGGAAGTGGACACTCGTCATCCTACCACCGCGGTCATTATGGCGCAACATCAACCACTACAACAAACTTGCACGCCAATTCGACATCAACAACTCACCATGCCACAACATCGGGTCAGATCTTACAGAGATCTGAACTCTTGAACAACCTCACCGGCCAACAATTATCGAATGTAAAGAAGACTCCTCTTTACAGTTTCCTCTCTTTTATTCCTTGGAATGAACGCCAATAGATTGGTCTAATATTTGGTGTTGTGCTAGCATCGTGATACTCCTCTATCCCTCTTCAGTTTCCACTTTCTTTTTCTATTTTGTATTCTTCTTAATTTCGGTCCTAAGCGGCAACTAGTTGTCTTACCTTATAATCTATTCCTAAAAAACAAAAGCTGAAGAAATAACATTGTTTTTCTTGAGTTTCTTCCTTTTGAAGCTTCTGGAACGTTATCTCATTGTAGCTGTGCCCTCCCTAACCAGCCACCGCCACTTTAGTTACTCCTTGATTTTTATTCGTCTCTTTCTTTTTATCTTTCTCTTCTCTTCTGCCTATTCAAAGGACAACTAAATACTTGTTTAATCCCATTTAGTTTAAGTGTCTAATTTAGACTTTTCCCCAAAGAAACAAAAGATAATCTAATGCATGACTAATCCTCTATTCGTAATCTAAGTATGAAGATATGAATATACAATCGAACACGGTACTAGGGCAATGATTTCTAATAGTCCCCTTATTTTGGCTTGCCATAGACGCGTTCGACTGTATATATATTCGTAAGAATATATTTCTTTGTATATAAATAGATGTATTTATGTAAAATGAATGTGTATGTACTCTACTTTGTATTATTTCAAAATAATAATAATAATAACAACATCAACAACAACAACGAATAAACCATGGCTAGGAAGAAAATCAAATGCACGCCATAGCGAAGAAATCGTATACTAGATGCGTTTCAAAACCGAAAGCAAATTTTTTTGTGACTCTCGAATATTGAAGTTCGTTTTTATTTTCTTTTTTCAACCAAAAATACATACATACATATGTAGACTGTCTGCTTTTAGCTCTTCTTCTTCCTACAGAAATGCGTACAAATACTGCTGTCAAGACCATCTGTCAAAGATACCAAAAAAAAAGGATTGTACAATGGCTTTAATAACAATACCAAAGAAAAACAAAAACATAATTTAATTGCTTGTCATACAAACTCCTATACTCAATGTTGTATGCCTATAAATGTCGGTGTGTGTATATGTGTGTGTGTCGGTGTGTACAACAAGTGTATGTGTCATATATTAATTAATTTAATTGACAATATTTTCATTGTTTTTCTAGGTCACCTATCAGCCATACTTCATGTTGTATGGTGAAGTGTTTGCGGATGACATTGATCCACCATGCGGAGAAAATCCAGGACAAACCGCTTGTGTCACAGGTTCGTTATATTAACACTATTCTAATTAAACTGCAACGCATAGGAGTTTAAAAGAGTGCGAGAAGTGCAAACCAAACATCGAGGGTATTTCTTTTTGTATTTGATATTTGAAGTTAAAAAAGTAGAAAGAAAAGAATTAATTAAAGCAAACCTTGGAAATATTTTCGACATATGTTCATACTAGGGTATAAATTATTTGATATTCCATTATGCCTCCATGTCTCTTTGATCAAAAAATAAGTCCCATTTTATTTAAACTTGGTATACCATAATTTTACACTGAGCGACTAAATTCAATTTTTTCATAAACACAGGAAAGCCACAGTTAATTATGGAATCAGAGTTGTATAAGCGTTGTAAAAATTTACATCCAAAAAAATAATCTTAGTAGAGGGGAGAGTTCCAACATCTTCCACATTTTTCCTATTAAGATTTCTTAAAATCGACGACGTATTAGGTACAGAGTGTCCTCAGGGCTATTACTCATAACAATACGAGAATTCTTTCGGTTTTAGGCCTCAAGCGAGTCATCTGAGCTGCCTTTAAGCTGGATAGTAACAAATCACAACAGTCCGAAAAATTTTTTATCAAAGATTCTACATCAAAACTCTAAATCTTACACAAATACCAAGAAATTACAAAAAATTAAAAACACCTTCAAGGGTTGAACTCGTACTTCTCCGAGTTTAGCTGAAATTCTCCTACAAAAATAGCAAAAGAAATGTGTACATTAAATATGTACCATAAAAATATCGTTAATTTTTTATTTTCGACAAATTTAGCACCTTTTCCGAATTTGATGCAAATTTTCTAAAAATTCGATTGTGCAATAGCTAGTGCCTTTTTATAGCCCTAATCATTGACGAAGGGAACCCAAAGTTTTGAACTGCTTTCGGAAACATTGAATATAGAGCTTTGGAAGTTTTTAGAGAGCTCTGGATTCCTTTAAGAATCAATAGATTAAAAAATGGGCAAAGTCGGTCCATATTGTATAGTCCATACCAGAAAGCTGCAACGAGTACGATTGATTGCTCAAACGAGAGAAAAAAATTTGTGAGCAAGCATAAATTAATTAATTGACCGAAGCACCGTGTTCGCAATCAAACATCTCACATGAGTGATTTGTTAACGAACTAACGTTGAATTGGGACGATAGTCTCGGATGAGTATAATCGTTTGACTCTGTTTTCTTTTATTAAAACACAGAAGATCAAATCTGATCGAAATCCTATTTATATTTTCATTTGCCATTTATATATGTATTTATATTTTCATTTGCCATACATTGTCAATGCATTGGTATTTTATCTATCGGAATATTGATAAGAACAAATCCCTTATTTCTTCCTCTCATAGGTCACTGGGTAACACCCATCACAATGTCAATGTATTTGTTGATAGCAAATATTCTATTGATCAATCTCCTGATTGCCGTTTTCAACAATATTTTCAACGAAGTCAATTCAGTTTCGCATCAGGTAAGTGTCAATAACAGCGCATAGTGTCCACATTGGAGAACTAATGAAATCTGAATTTATTTTAATTCCGGCTGCCGTTCCTCAGGTTTGGATGTTTCAGCGCTTCACCGTCGTCATGGAATACCAACAGAAACCCGTCCTACCGCCACCCTTTATTGCCTTCTGCCATTTCTACTCGCTGCTCAAGTATTGTATACGCAAAGCCAAAGGTGAGAGAGGGATGAGAAAATTAAGTTTTATTCCCTGTGAGTTTTAATTACCAGCTCCTAAACAAATTTAACCAATAATGTTTCCTTTTTTCACTTTTACTTTTTATGTGTCTGCATTTTGTTGCACTTGTTGTATTGTTGTTGTCGCCTTCGTCTGTAATATCTTATCGCCATGATATGTTGCGCTCGTTAACTCCATTTCCGCGACGATTCGTTCGATATTGCATTTCATCACACACACACACGAACATATGTATGTCACTGTACGTGTGATGGTCATGATTGCTGCATATCTGGCAATAATTAATCCATCGGCCATCATATTAACATAAATTTACTAACCAATGGTGGTGGTGATGTTGATGACATGATTTTTGGAAAATTCGCATCGAATTCAAATCAATCAAATTCTCGCTCGAATGTTTAAATCAAAATTTCGCCTCTATGGAAATGTCATAACAAAAAAAAAAAAAAAAAACAAATCATATATTTAATATTATATAACGATAAACACACACATTCATATGTAACCAACTACTAACATTGTAAATATAAATAATTGTAATTGATATTCTTTTTCTTTCTTTAATGGATGTCTTTGTGGCTAATTTTTTGAAACGAAATATTCGCTCTTTTTGATGTTTTATGGGATATATATGCTCCCTCCATTGCCATTTCAATGTTCGCTCATTCATGCATTCCCTTTGTCACATCTCTCTCTCTCTCTCTCCCATCGTCACATGTCCTGGCCATAACACCTTGTCTGTGCTCACATCAAACCACTCACACACACAGGATTGGAAGTACAGCGAGACAACGGTCTTAAGCTCTTCTTGGAAAAGGATGACTTGGAACGTCTGTACGACTTTGAAGAGGAGTGCGTAGAGGGATTCTTCCACGAGCAGGAGATAATCCTAAACCAGTCGACCGAAGAACGCGTCAAAAATACAACCGAACGTGTAGAGACGATGACCCAGAAAATTGAAGACATTAACCAAAAGGAAAATTTGCAAACAGCCACTGTTCAGGTGAGATAAACATGTATAGCGATTATTTACACGCACACACACGCATATAGTTACATGGATATGCGGTCTCTCTGCCGCTGTGTGATAATGACTCTGTCGAATGTCAGTTTGTTTGATGTCAATCCACTTGACATGGGAATGAATGAAAACCAAATTTCTCTTTTCATTCTTGTGACCTTTACATTAGGCATGTTAGGTGCTGTCAAAATGGTGTAGCATTAAGGCTGTGCAAATATCCGACCGAAAATAGATGTTATCATTTTTCTCACAACGAAATATTAAACTTTCAAATACCTGAACTATGTTGCTTTAAACATTGAATGTTATTTGGGGGCATAACACCTCTAAGCTAAGCTTTATAAATTTCATCCTAAAGACAAGCGGAAAGTGGAAACGGATTAATTTACAAATAATATAAATTAGACACATTTATGTCCACATGTGTTCCCGTACATAAATATGTAAGTTTTCCATCTAAACTTTAAAATTATGAACATAGAAAAATAAAGACATCGGTGAGGAAAACTTAACTACACTGTGATCAAATGACACAAACGAAGAAGATTATGGGGAACACTGACAAGAGTTTGTTGAATATGTTTAATTAAGGATGTAGTTTCCAAACATATGTGTTCTTTTGTCTATCAAAAGGTCTCACAATTAGTATTTATTGGCATAAAATGCGCTAGTCAGAGGGAGGGATGTATTAAAAATGGCCATGTTCGTAAAGTACTAAAAGGTACCATGGGTGTATCATACAAATCGGTATAACGCATTTCAAAGGTAAAAAACTATTAAAAGTTACAAACTGCTACAACAAAGCTGAAACTGCACCTTTTTCATATGTAACTCGAAACATTGTTGCATTGTGCATTTCGAGAATTCAATTTGTAATTCGAATCATTTTATGTACTACTGACGATGCAAATAGACACATTAAGGAAACATTTTGTTAACATTTGTATCTTAAGAGTACGAAAATTACCATAAGGTACTTCATTTCACTTCATTCTTATTAAACTGTTGGTAGAGCCACAATTTTAAAAATTGCAGGTGGAATATTTGGTAATTCGGTAAAGTATTAGAAGGTACTTATTGGCAGCGCTAAGATTTTAACAAATGGACACAGTTAGAATTCTGAGATCTTGCATAAAGACAATTAAATTCTGAAATCACCACTGCACTTTCCCATAACCAAGAATTGCAAACTTATATTGTCATGACTTCAATAAATGTACAAAAAAAACCTTTAAAATGCATTTTCCTATTTTTACTGCAAGTATTGTATAAAAATGTCATGCAAAGCTATTAAAATACATACAACAAAATATTTATTTCGAAGAAGAAAAACAAGTTAAAAACCGATGACCATTTATTTAAATATATTTTTACTTGGCATGTGCAAAATTTAAAGAAAATCGAATAGACGGACACCCCCATATCAACTCCAAATGTGCTAAGACCTAAGGACTAAAAGTGTTACATCATTACTTGTCTTGAAAAAAGTCACATGTCAATGAATTTTAAACAAAAACAATGTGGGAATATTAAAATATTATTTGCATGGAGACAATTTCCTTTTTTTATTTTTGTTATAGGTTGTCACAGTTATCTTTTTCAATTTGTAAAATTAGAATATATTTCTATTGAAAAATAAAAATTACATTTGGAAGTGAACGGAAAAATAGAATTATATATGTAGAGATGTTTAAATTATATATTAATTCGCTAACGGGTCTATAATTTGTCTTTTTTTAATGTTGTATTATGTCTAGGATTATAGTTATTGAAAATTTTTATATCCTACAAGGTCAGGGTATTATGTCTTGGTGCGTTTGTTTGTAACATGCAAAAGAAACGAGATAGACCCATAGTTTCTTTTGATGATCTGCATAAAATCCCATTCTGAGTCGATTTATGTACAGCCCAAATAGCATTTTGCACGTACGACCAAATTAAGTCTGAACCAAATCGATTCAGATATAGCTATAGCTCCCATATATATATATATATATATATATATATATATATATATATATATATATATATATATATATATATATATATATATATATATATATATATATATATATATATATATATATATATATATATATATATATATATATATATATATATAATTCATCCCATTTGTAATGTAACAACGATATTTGGGTAAATATATCATATACAGATCAGAAATATCTTTACTAAATTTTATCGAGATCGTTTCAGATGCGTCCGATTTGGCTTTTATTGTGTACCAAACGTGTAATGGTGTGGAATTTGGCACTTACGAACAAGTTGAGCCTAGAAAGAAGTATATCGAATTTGGTGGAAATCGGTTCAGATATAGATATAGCTCCCATATAAACTGTTTATTCGATTTTTTCAATTTTTCCCCCATTCCCAGAAAATGCACTCCGTAACAACGATATTCGGGGAAATACAGGATATTGCTCTGCGGCATTTTGACCCATTCCCGGCGAAGCGTTCGACACTTTGGTAGTTTTTAGTGCCAGCCTTGCTTTCCAAAATACTCCAGACACATCCAACGGATTGGTAACCGGAGATTTTGGGAGGCCATTGTGCGTTGAAAATGAAGCGAGGAACCTGATTTTGTAACCATTCTTGGGTGACGCGTGCTGAGTGCGATGGTGCTGAGTCCTATTGGAATGTCCAAGGTCTGCGACCAAAATGTTTGCGTGCCCAAGGCTTTAATACACCCTCTAGAATATTTTCTCGATAATATTCGGCATTTATTCTGATGCCACGGTCGATTAATACGAGCGGAAAGCAACCGTCGGCTGTTATGCCGTCCCACACCATCACCATGGCCGGCGCTTGAGTTCTGGTGGACAAGCGAAGGTGCACATTTTCAGCTGACCTCTTTGGCAAGTAAACACGATCATTAGAAATGACAGCAGTCTGAAGTTGGTTGCAGTTTTTTCATCTCACCCTGTAATTTTCAACTTAATTCAATAGATATAATGTATGTGGGTTTTTATTGACATCCGAAAATTGTCCAATACCCGTTGCATCAATCAAAAAGGAAGTAATCTGAGTTTTTAAATCCTAATTGGTAGAAGACCTCATCCACAATTATTGTTTTTTGAAAGATCCAAGTCACATGGGATATTTCCAAATGTTTTCAAGTTGTGATAAGGGCATTGTCATAATTTAAGTTTTTTAAATGCTGGAGGATATTGAAAATGCGGAATGGCCGACATTAAGGCCGTTATTAAATGTCCCTACTATGGTCGTTTTGCTAACAAAATACCGGACACTTGCTAGTTAAATGTATTATTGAAACAAATGCGAATTCTGCAAAAGCCCAAAAATAATTAGATTTCGCATTCAACAACAATATATGCCGTTAGGTTTAATCTAAAAATATTAAATTAAATCTCACAACTCTACTCCTTAGACAGAAACTTTTAACCTTATACCCATCTGATTTCAATTAAATATATAAATTTTCTTCTTCTACTTCCTTATTTATTTTTAGAATATTGAATTCCGCATACGCAAAATGGAAGAGTCTTCTGAGCAAATACTAAGTCATTTGGCCGTCATTCATCGCTTTATGTCGATGCATATGGGCCAAGAGGATTTGAATGCATCCAATATGAATATTGGTCCTGGAGATTTGCAGCGGATTCGCACAGTATCAATGTCGGACAACGAAGCTGGTAGCGGTGGTGCTGGTAGTGGCGGCACCGGTGGAGGTGGCGGCAGTTCTGGCGGTGGCGGTCTTATATCAGCTCAAAACAGTCTTCAGGTATCAAGTCAATAGATTTATTGCGTTACAATCTAGAAATTAATTTTTGAAATGTCCCATTCTATAGGTGACCAATAGAAAACGTTTCAATCGTTCGCTCACCGAGGTACGACCTGATGCATACATTTTTGATGATGGAACCCACTTTGAAGTGGTACCTGTACCTGAAGAGCCAGACGAGGTTGTCAAATCTAGAGAAGCTCTCAATGAGCAAGTGGTGCGTAAGGTATCGGTGCAGTCGGAATCCGATTCAGACATTTATATACCACTCTCACAACGACCATCAACATGTGAAACTGTCAAGCGAACCCCCTATGTGACTGTTCGCCAAGACACTGGTGCGAGTACTGAGAGCAAGGACACCCTAACACCCCTGGGTCATGATGACGACCAAACTCTTGTCGGTGAAACTTCCGATGAGACGGGACCAGACATTAACTTTGAAGGTAACTTCCAGCATACATTCAGGTTTGTTCATATGTAAATGTTATTAATGTCTTGCAGCTGCCAGGCATCGAGCTATGCGTCAACGCACGGTTTCTTTATGTCGCAGAAATTCTGAGACATGCTCAATAATAGGCGACATCAGTCGCTCTCACATAAGTCTGAATCAATTGCATCTGTCGAGGCGCCAGATGAGTCTGACACACTCAGAGCCGGATAGTGATAAAGAGGGTGCCGCAGGTATGTGTATAGCCTTTTCATTTCTGAACACCCTTGTTCCATTTGTATTTCTCCTCCCCCCACCATTCGAAGACAATACCATCCACACAGATTGGTTAGTTCTTCGAATTATAAGAGAATAACCAATATCCTGATGTAGAGGTATTGCCTTTGAGTTCACTCTGTGTCTCTATCTCGCTTTATGTTGTAAAGTAACGGTGTGGTGACTGACTCTATTTCTCTCTCCTTTGTTGTCCTCAATGTTCAGTTCAGTTCATTCATTCAATCATTCCTTCCCCTCCTTCACTTTCGATTACATTTCTGTGTATTTTTTTTGTGTAAAAATATGTATTTGAAATTAAAATTTTATTTTTCCCAATCACAATGGAAACGGAAAACGTTTTCTTGTGAAACAAAAAAAAAAAAATTATGAAAATGCAATTTAGGAAAATCGGTTCTGCATGCAAAGCCTTCGAGAAATATTCTCCTGAAATTGCATAGCGAATACACTTCGATTACGGATGAATTAGAGAGTGTTTGCCATATGATTGCCTCGCCCACGGTGTCATTGCCAAGTCACAAGAGTAAGTATTCGATATTGTACAAATGTGTTTATATATGTATCCATAAATATGTATATCAATGAGAGAAACTATTTTGAATTGCTTAATTTAATGTTCAATTTTAGATTGTTGTAAAAACTAACATATCAATTGCTGGCAGGATAATATATTTGAAGTAACATTGAAAAATACTTTTTGGGACACTTTCACTTTTTGTATCACTCTGTATGGAATTAGAATTTATGACTACATGCAAATTGTTTTCAGTTCGGGAACTCAAAATTGTTATGTCTGTCTGATTCATCATCGCCCAGACGGAACGTCTGAAGCTAGAATCTTGAAGCTTTTGTATCTGTGTATGAATGACACTAATTAGGATTTTTGGAAATTCAAAATGAGTGTACTAGAAGTAATAAAAGGGATAAGACCATTTGTAAACGGATAGAGGTAAAATCTTGACATTTGGTATAGGATTTAAGTTGGGGAAGTAGGTTTGATAACAGAAGGAGGTGGTTATTGAAATGTGCACTAAGTTTAAGATCTGTACTAAATGGTGCGTTTGGGTGAACGATGGAGCTGAAGTTTTCAAAAATTCGCATTACAAATGAAATAATTTGAATTAAAATAGAACTCAAAAAGATGTAGAGTAAAGTTTTTTTCACCCTTTTACTACTTGTCCGCCGTCACTTCTGGTACGGCATCACTTTTTGTAGAGGTCGATACTAATCTGGCATTCCGTAACGGCGTCGACTTTTTATACCCTCCATGGAGGGTATATTAAGTTCGTCATTCCGTTTGTAACTCATCGAAATAATCATTTTAGACCCAACAAAGTATACATATTCTTGATCAGCATTAAATTCTAAAGACGATTTAGCCCTGTCCGTCCGTCTGTTGTAATCACGCTACAGTCTAAACGAATTAAGATAGGAAGCTAAAATTTTGCACAGATCTCTCTTTTGTCTGCAGGCAGGTCAAGTTCGAAGATGGGCTATATTGGTCCACGATATCGTATAGCCCCCATATAACGGCACCCCCGATATTCGGTATTTTGATGATGTTAGCCACATTTTTCAATGCAATTGTCTGAAAATCCACACAAGTAATTCCTTGTGGGTACTTTACACCTCGGCAGAGAATTATCTATATAGGTCCGCGAGATCGTATAGCCCCCATATAACGGTACCCCCGATATTTGGTATTTTGATGATTTTATCCACATTTTTCAATGAAATTGTCTGTAATTCCTCAAAAGGAGTCCCTTGTGAGCATTTTACCCCCTGAAAAAGAATTGTCTATATAGGTGCACGATATCGTATATCCCCTATATAACTATAACGGTTATTCGGTATTTTGCTGATTTTAGCCACATTTTTCAACGGAATTGTCTGAAATTCCACACAAGGAGTCCCTTATGAGTATTTAATCCCATTAAAAAGGAATTGTCTATATAGGTCTAGGATATCGTATATCCCCCATATAACTGTACCTCCCGATATTCGGTATTTTGACGATGTTAGCCACATTTTTCAAGGGAATTGTCTTAAAATCCACACAAGTAATTCCTTGTGAGTACTTTATCCCCTGAGAGAGAATTGTCCATATAGGTCCACGATATCGTATATCCCCATATAACGGTACCCCCCGATATTCGGTACTTTGATGATTTTACCCACATTTTTAACGGAATTATCTGAAAATCCACACAAGGAGTTTCTTGTGGGAACTTTATACCTCGGCAGAGAATTATCAATATAGGTCCGCGATATCATATATTCCCCATATAACTGTACCTCCCGATATTCGGTAATTTGATGATTTTACCCACATTTTTCACGGAATTGTCTGAAATTCTATACAAGAAGTTCTGTGTGAGTACTTTACCCCCAGACATAGATTTGTCTATATAGGTCCACAACATCTTAAACCCGCCCAATATATCGGCACTTTCCGATATTTGGTATTTTTAAGATTTTTAATGTATTTTAGTATTTTGAAAATTTTCTAATTCGTTCCAAATGGTGGGGGGTATTCAAAATTCGGCCCGGCCGACCTTACTGCTTTTTTACTTGTTTATATTTCTTTTTTCCAATTCTTCCACAATTATATTTTGTTGTCCACTTTTATTTTATGTTGTAAATTACATCGGACATTAAAAATCAAAACTACAACGACAAAATCACCCCTAAACAAGTCTACGTCGCCGTCACATTTACCTACATGATACCAAAAAACTCACAAATGGCAATACTGACAGTTAGAATACCGAATGGCAAGAAATTGGCTTAATATGTCAACTTTTTACTTTTTTAATAATAATTATTATTATTTTTCAATAATAAAAAAATTGTTAAGAAAATATTCAAATTCGAGAGCTTTCAAAATGCTTTAAAAAATGAAAAAATCTAATAAGGGCGATTAAAAAAGAAAGAAAAATATATCTAAATCTTTATTATTATTGTTAAATGAATTTTTCATAAATTTCAAAATAAAAGATGCACATATTGAAATGTTGATTGATTTTTTTGTATTTCTTCGAACAAATTAATGTATATTTAATAAGGCATATATGATTATCAGTCAACTTTTTTCTGTAAAATAATTTGGGTCTGTCGAAAATGTACATAATATTGAAATATTTAGCGCAGATAAGCGTTTTTAGTCATATTGCTATATTAGGCCATTCGGATACAATCTGAATAACTTTTTAAAGGATACTCTTAAAATATGTACAATTTTGTTATTGCAAAAAGATTAGTTGTTGTAATTTATGGAAATACGTAATAAACAACTCTTGGCTCGAATAAAAAAAAAACATTAAAAAATTTTTAAAGCTGGCATAAACCTGCGACATATATCAACTACGCAGAATTATACACCAAAAACCTGAATAGAAATGATAATATTCCATCCATTGGAATAAAATGTCCATTTAAACTATTAGATTCCTGGGCCGTGATTTATGTTATAGAAAAACGAGGACAAATTCTGTAACTCACGACTAGCCCTAATCACGCGGAAACTTCAAATAAACGTTTGATGAAAACATTGATTTAATATCCACGAATGCCTAATGTTCAACATTTGGACAGTACCATATTTGCATTGCTAAATACTTACACTTCATTAAAAATCAGTATTTGAATATTACACTTGTGACGGAAGCCTTTGAAAGAGTATTAATCTAACAGAAAAGAAGATTGGATAGAAAAAGTAGATGCATTTTTCAAAACTGTATTCAATTGGATTATGAACACAAAACGTATTCGGTGGTTTTCCACATCATTGAATTTTAGATAGGAGTCAAATATTGTTTCAACGAAAAGTTGGTACTGTAGGGGTTGCGAAGCGTATCATGAAGTCAGCCAGTAAAATATTAAAACAACTTAAATCGAATAAGGTCCATTATGAAATGATAAAATAACTACGTTATCCATAATTTATATACAACACCAAATTCAATTTATACATATATACAATTTATCCATTATATAAAGTTCATACATACATGACATGTACAGATATACACACATATGTTAATTACATTCTCTTTTCTCCCTCCATTTATAGCATCGCTGGATAGACCCAAAACGGAAATGTCAAAGGCCGAGGTGGCTGCGTTACTCGAAAAACAACATTTGAAAGAGTGCGAGGAGAGTGACTATCAAATCCTTGAGGGTCTCTTTCAGGCACGCGCCTCCATTGATGACACCGACGATTCATATGAGGTAAGTTAACTAAATCTAAATCGATATGTATACCATTTTTTTAAACACCCGTCAATTTATTACAGGCTGGCATTTCCGTTGACTACAGTCACCGGCATCCGCTGCGACGTGAAACTGCCGTGGAACTTTCACCATCTAAGCCGCCAGCTGGCGGAGGAGTAATTGGTGGCGATAGCAGCGATACTAGCGCACCAACAGCTGCCGGCTTTCAAGTGAAAAATGAACGCCACTGGCAACGAAATGCGTCAATGGAACAGCAGCAAACATATCAGTCACCAGTTGTACCCCAACGAGCCACCAGTGAATTCCTCAATCCACCGTATGAGAGTGCCGGTCGACTCTTCAAAAAGTCCAGCGAAAGTTTGCAGAAGAATTCCAGCACAGACACTGACTACTCTGCCCATCCCTATCGCTTTATTAAGCAAAGCTCAAATGAAACCACCACCTCAATGACTGGTTCCTACAACATAGATACACCCTCATTGACTGCAGAACCCTCTTTGGATGCTGTGGACATTCAAACCCCGGCCCATGCAACGACAGTGCTCGAAAGCGGTGTTAGCCTCAGCGGAGGAGGCGGATTAGGCACTTCGGCCCGTTATCAGCCGTTGCGTACCTCTTCCATGGGTGCCTCAGACATGAAGCGACCCAGCGAAGACGTATCCACTTCCACAGATTTCGGAACAACCGCCATAATTGGGCAAGTGCAGCCTCCTCCGCGAGCTATGCAGCTGAAGAAACAGTTTAGCTTGGACCAGGGCAAACAGCCACAACCTCCACCTATACCACCCACAACTCGCATATCACACGCCGAAACACCAACGACTGAAAGCACCAGTGCATCGCCCATTCCGACACCGCCGAGACTTACCACAAGTGGCAGTGACAGTGGTGGTGCTGCATTGCCGACAACGGTTCCTGCCAAATTGCTTTCCTCGCTGAAACCACCGCTTTCCAGTAAACTTGGCATGAACATTCTCAAGGAGAGTAGTTCGAGCACTGAAGAGTCAAAAGATGGCGATTCGACCGCAGGCCCATCCTCTGCCGCTGGCATGGTCATTCCCCAAATAAGCACCGACCTAGTTCAGGACGAAATCGCTAAGCTATCATCGAACATCAAGAGCAGTACCGAGTCGGAGAAGGATCCTCCCTACAACGAGACAATGTGCTGATTTTTATTGAAACTTTCCTCCGTCTTCGGCATCTCGGCCCAATCGTCTGACTCCAATTCTCCGGCTTCTACTTCTTCTTCGTTATCGGCCGCAACTGCACCGATGGACCGAACTGCGTCACAAAATAGCAACCAATTTTTATCAATTGTAAATAGGTTTTAGGTTAGGTAAAAGCGTGTCATTTGTTTACAACAAGAAAACAATAAATTATTCATTCGTGTTTTTTTATTTTTGTACAAAAATCCCAATAATGTGCATAAACAATACGAACAAACAAGATAAGAAATAGTACTTATATATGTATGTATGTATATTTTCGCTGGTTCCAACATATTTGTATGACCAGATATGCGCCCAGTCTTGCCATATCCCTGGGAGCATACATGCCAATCTCAATACCGTTTAACGGCATACACATCTTGGAAATCCCAGATGATTCACATCGATTCAAACATGTTGAGAAATGAGAAAAAAGACCATTATATTTAGTGAATATCAATATATGCGTGTATGTATGTAGGTATACTTATGCAATGTAGTGTAAATTGTAATACACAAGTTTTAAAATATCATGTCTGAATGTATCCCTGTAATTTTTTTTTTTTTTTTGTAATTTAAGTGCGTAATATGTGTATGTCTGCTGTACTTATTATGTGTATGTATGTATTTATGTATCTATATCGTAATAATGATTATGTCGAAAGCTTTCTATTGCCATTTATTGTATTTGTAAGAGAATTAAATTATGATAAAGAGTATTAAACTTTTGTTTTGTAGTATTTGATTTACATTTGTAGAGCAAAGGTAGCGTGTGAGAGTATTTCGTTTTACACGAAAATGTATTTAGCTATCCCAATACCTAAAATCGTTTCACTTCAGCCTACGTTGTTTGTGGTTAAGATTTAGACCAGGTTTGCAAATCATTTGTCGATTTGGGTTGGTTCGGTTCAGTATTATGTGTAAATATTTGCATATCCAGTTCCACGCACAAATACCCTGTCAAAATTCATTAAACTAGTCGCAGTGGCTAGGTTCCAAGCAATTTTTAACACATAAAAAAGTTTTAAAATGTATAGTAATTATATTATATAATATATAGTTAATTATAATATATTGAATTATGTGATGTAAGGAACTTGTAGAGGAAAATTATAAAGCGTTTTTACGTTTCGACGCAAATTACTAATTTTGGTGGCACAACTTGTGAACTGAACCATTGTGCATTTTTTTTTTTAACATAGAGAAATAATCGAGATAGTCCCATAGTTACTTTTATCTTCATAGAATCACTTTCTGAGGCGATTTATGCATGTTAGTCCATCCGTACTGTGTTGTCCATCCGTAGTGTGCACCAAATGATTAATATCAGCACAAATAGACTACATTTTGACAACTGCGACTAAATGCATCGGAAAAACAAGTAGCTCAAATTTGGTGAAAATCGGTTAAGATATAGCCATAGTTCTCATATATATGTTTTATTCGATTTGATGTTTGGTCCCCTACATGCGTAATGTGCACTCCACAAAAATTATATCTGCTTCCAGATATCAGATACAGCTTCGAAATTCCTGGTTCAAATTTGGATATAGCTCCCATATGTATCTTTATCCGATTACAGGTTTTTTGTGCACCAAATGGCTAATATCAGCCCAAATTGACTGAATTTTGGAACTTCCCACGGAATTCAGCCTAGAGGCAAGTGCATCCAATTTTGGTGAAAATCGGTTCAGATATAGCTATAGCTCCCATATATATGTTTCGTCCGATTTGATTTTGAAGACCCTCACCATATATTTAATATGAGCCCAAATCGAATAGATTTTTTTCATTTTCAACTGAATTTTACCATCTGGTAAAACTCAGTTCGGTATATCTATTGCTCCACTAAAATAAAATATTTTAATATAGTCCCTATCGAAGTCATATAATACACTATAAAGCGATATTATTTGGTTCATAGTCGGTATAATTTACTTCACATAAATTCGCAATATAAACTTTTTTTCTGTAAGCAACAATATTCTTGTTTTCTATTGAATTTTTGTAACATTGTCAGAGGTTGGGTTTAACCTTGATTTACAAAAATATGGCCACCTAATGTGTGACCCTACTAAAATGCGCAGCTCCAGATCGATGGTTTAGATTCATTTCAATTGCCAAATGTTGCGAAGGGCTAAAAATCGCCATAACCACAACATTTTTAATTTATTGCATATCAACGCCATTTCAAATCTCTTTATTCCACAGCACAGAGTCACTTGGAATCGAATCGCTCAAAATAGAGTAATAGTTTGCACTAAGTGTGAAATCGAGAGGAAAGCATAAAGCCTATTCATATTCATAGAACACAGCCGAGCAATATCGTAAACTTGATTTACACTAATAAAATGTCTTCAAAATAAAAAAAAAAACTTTGAAAAATTAACTTAGAAGAATTTTGCTTTTTCACGAGTTTAAGGCATTTTGAAGAAAATTTCAATTGTATAAATCTAGCTCTATTTATTTTTACTGTCTTTAAAAAAATCTGATATTAAGAAGAATCTACTAGTTTTGCAATTTTTTCGATATCATTAAGGGAAAATAGTTTGTCGTAGTGGAAAGTGTTACATTCTTGCAGTTCTGGAACACACAAAATATATTTTGACTTGTGTTATGATTATTCAAACTGTTGACGCCATATGAGGAGGTTCCGAAAGAGCGGGTCAATATTGTCTACTTTGTACCTGGTTTGGACTTCATATAAAATATGTGATAATTTTTGGAAAAGGTTGAAATGTGCGTGAGGTACCAGATATAGTGGACCTAAATATTCTATTTTCACACTTCAACCTATTCTGATATTCGGATGGGCACAATTTAAAAAGAACCATTTATTTCCAACTTTATACGAAATTAAAAATTCCGACAATTTCCATATTCATATCAGATTTCTCTTTAAGAGAAATAATTAAATATTCCAAGTTGTAAAGAATCGTTGACTTGTTTCGCAAGTTGTGAGAGATATAAGTATTGATTGAGATATTCAAAATTGTGACCCTTTGTGGGTGAGGTACCAGAAAAGAGTGGGCCGATACCTATCATCTTCACACCAGATTCTCAAGCAAAACTGTTTTGATGTGTTATTTCTGAGCATCTCGCTATTCAAAAATGTTAACCCTTTGTGGTGGAGGTACCACTAGAAATGCGCGGATTTATTCCATCCTCATGGAAGATCTTCTGTTAGTAGAAATATTGGGATATGTGAAATTTGAAGATAATTGGATGCTCAAAATCAAATGATACTTTCATGTTCTATATGGTACATTATTTTCATTGAAAATGTTTACCTTCTGTGGGCGAGGTACCAGAATGAGTGGACCGATGCAACCCATATCCGAATTTAATCTAAGTCGGACAATAATATTCCCTTCGAGAATTATCGTGCGCACCAGCCAGACAAACGAACGGACGGACGCCTCTAGATCGACCCAAAATGTTGTGGAAGGGATTTGGCCTAAAGAGACCTAGGATCGATGTGTCACATTTTGGCCCTATCAAATAATATATACCCTCGTTAGCCATATGACGTAGGGTATAATATATAAGTTGCATAATTTGTATGTTTAATTTTAATACCTTCAGTCATATGACTACAGTCCGTCAGGAACGAAAATTCCTCCGCAGAAAGCTCAACATTTTGAATTCGTATATATTTTGTGAAGTGTCCGATTTTCATAACACCTGGCGCCCCGCAATATATTTGGCTATGATGGAGCAATTATGGAAAGGGAAAATATCGATTCATTATTTTCTCCCCTGCACAACTACAAAATGCACATATTTTACATATTTATGTCAATATTATATATATTTCACATATAAACTGAGTAGAGTAGTAGGCTCGGACCCCCTACGAGATGGTAAGTTTTTAGATACTTTTAGAAAATTTTGCTTGAAAATTGTATTTTCTGTCGGTTGAGCGATTTTTTAATAGAATTCGTTATTTTAAGTTCTTAATAGGTGCTCATTCCACAGGCCGAATACTACATTGATAGATCCCGGCTTGTGTGTAACCTACATATAGTGGTACAATCGATATTCAGTACTTTACTTTACTTAAGCCATATTTGTCAATGGGATTGTCTGGAATTTTACAGCGTTACCTAATATTCGCTTCTTTACACAAGTAAAACACATGTATTTATATGAGAATTAGCCAAACACGTTAGGCGTACAGCATTGCAAAGTTGAACTGGTTCAACATTGACTATTGAACAGTTTCGTTTATATATCCTACACCGCAAGGGAGCTCCCATATATATTGTTCATCCGATTTTTTATATTTATTAATTGATTAAATGATGAAAGTTTTGATTGAATGATGAATGTTTGCAATTGGAAAAAATTACAATGGAGTGAATTTAATAAAGCATCATTTTTTTAAAGTCCAATTGGCAGTCCAAAGGACCCAGCTTCAATTTTTCATAACAGTTTCTCAGAAGAGTATGCCCCTTTATGTTCCAGAGGAGTATGTTCCTTAGCGGTTCCTTCTAATTTCGGTGCATTGAAGCTTTTGGCCACAACTCCCAAACGTAATACTTGTCTAATAAAATTCGCATTACGCACATTTTTCCATACACAACCACGTTTCGACATAAGCCTCAAAAAGCGGGTTCAGCCATTCGTATATGTTGGAAGGCCCAAACCGCATTCTCCATCAGGAGAGACCGATCTAAACCTTAATCCTCGATAAAAAAAAATATAGATCCTGGTTTTGGAAATTTTTTTCCTACTGAGTTGGTTAAAATTTTGTGTTTCGGATACTCTCTTGTGTGCGATATTTTAACTATCGTTCATGTAACGGTTGCCCCAAAATTTTAATTGATGCCAAACAAATTTGCTACTGAGTCAAGATAAAATGTATCCCGTATGGATTTTCTTCGATATCAAATGTGAGGAATTGGCACTTGGAATTAATACAAATTATATAGCTTCTTTAATCATAACGATATATCGATGCTTAATATTTCAAATCCTTTTTGGCAAGCTAACTGTGTTTTTATCAAAACAGGTAAATGGCGTTGGAACACTTGGGCATGACATTGACGATAACCTACCTACCAACAATTGTGTCTCTTAGCCCTTTCTAAAGTCTAAACTAGATATTATGTACCATAATGCAATAAAAATAAAAACGCTTTATTCGAGAACACATTTCTTTCACCTTTCGCTAATCAAAAGATCATCAGGCAAAAATACA